AAAGTTCTTCCTTAATTCAACTGGTGGAGTTATTTCTCAGTTCTCCATTCTACTGATGCACAATGACTGGTCTTTATTGGTGGAGAAAGTAGGTTCCTAAGTCTTTTCTATACAAAAAATATAAAATTATATTATACCATAATACATCAGTTCACTTCACCAACAGTTCATCAGGTGAATAATAATAAAATAACTGTTTTGTAATGCACAATAATATTTACCCACAATAATATATCAGCTTATCAGACTGTTACAAATAAACTTCCCACTTTTTACTCAAACAGCTGAATAGTCTGAATGCATGTGCTATTCCCTGCTTTATCCTGACTTTGCACATTTTACACAATCCATCCTTGGTGACTTTACGAACACCACTTGCATGAGAATATTCGTCCTTGTGAATTTGTCATTGGATAGCAGGGCTCATTACAATCCATCTTTGGTACTGGATATATTTTAAGATAAGAATCAGAGAATGATTCAATTCTCAGACTGTTGAATGTGTAACAATACAGAAAGAGATGATACTTCCTTAAACCACACTAGGGTTGGTAATAGGACAGCTTCTGGTCGTTCATTTGGAATCCAGGTTCATGAATGTTCATGAATCTGCTTGAGAAATTTGTCAAATAAGTGTTTAGTTAAAAGAAGGGACTTCTTGCTTTTTGGGAAAATACAGTATCTGCATTGGCTTTATTTGCATAAGCAAAGGCGAACATAGGAATGAATGACAGATTCCAACATTCCAGGGTATTTCAGACAGTTCTCTGATGCACTGACAATGTCTAGGCGCTGCCTTGTTCTGTGACGCCATCTCGAGAAATGTATTGATAAAAACTGCACTACAGGTGCAGACAAAGACAGGACTACTGTGTTCTCAAAACTGTCAGCTACTACATTTGCTGGATGCCACAATCTGTATTTTTTGTGCTGGCAGTTAGAAAAAATGTCTGTACTCAATAAAAAAAATACCCAACAAAGTTTATTGATATTTTTAATGATGTGTAAATACCTTTAACATGTTCTGGCCAATTAGGCACAGTCAGAGTAACCATAAAGCTGTCCTTTTGAACTGTAAAATTTAGATCCCATTAATAATGTTTTCTTTTTTAATAATACATTTCATGCGTGATTTTCTATTTAAGTCCTCTTGTGCTATAAGTCAGGTGTTAGGTAACTGACAGAAAGATGATAACTTTAAACCTCTCAGTTCATACCACTCTCTTATGAAGAGCAATTGCTTTATGTGTCAGAAACCTCTCTACATTCTCTACTGCTGCAAACAAAGTCTCATTAATATGTTTTTTTTTTGCTTAGGAAAACTGACACAACACCATTAAATTTGGCTTTTCAATCCATGATTATTAATACATAATAGCAAATTCAACTCCACAAAATTATGCAAGCTTCCTGTACTTGCAAGAATTCTAAACACATTAGCTAAAGTTTATTCGTTTGCAGAAAATGCATATCTGCATAGTAACCTGAAGCTATTTAAGTTTTAAGAGCGAACACTTCTAGACCAGCCAACCAATATGAACTAAACGTTAAAAATATTAAAGAGAAGGAGGAAGAAGGGAGGGGATCTAGAATAAACATAATAAATACATGCACCTCTTGAACTCAACAAGTATTATAGTGTTTCCCTCAATGGTATTATGTATAACAGCTACTGTGAGGCTGGAATATAGCCAGCGCCCGGCTGCCAGCAAAAACTTTGTCACCTCCTTTGAAGATCTGAAGTATGTTTACCCAATAGATTTCATTAAATTACACTTCCATTAGGAAGCGCGCAATGTTGATACTCGTCTGCTAGATAAAAGGGATCGCTAAGAGGCATGTCATTCTGGTCCCTGTGCTCTCTGCCGTTCCTAGGCCAATCAAAAGAATCATCTCCAACAATGTTTTTTTTTTTAATTTTGTCAAATACAATGTCTCCACGGGGTTACCGGCTTAAAGATTGCATGGCCATTATCAAAATGAACCTATCATTACAATGCACCTTCGGGATGTCGCTTTAATAGTTTTACAAAGGTTCAATCCGGTTTTAGGGTCAGCCCCCTTCTGGGCCCTGAGCAGGAGGCATGGGGGGCTGCAGGGGGGTGTGGGGGGGTGCCAAGTGCAATCTGGTGACTCAACTGGCACAGCAAACATCGGATCGGGGTGCAAACAGATATATGAAAGAGGGTTTGGGGCCCAGCTGCAGGGGGGCGAGTCATTGATGTCCCTGTCAAAGTGCCTTGCCACCTGACTGGGCTCAAAAGAAGGACAGGATGGAGAGGAGGGAAGAGCTGATGCGCGTTCTTGTGAAGCTTGTGGAGCTAAACCTATCAACAGTGGCAAAGATAACGGGGAAAACAAAAGGGCTTTGGACTCTTCTCTGGGGTTGAGTTATGAACGCCAGCAAAAATATTGGTTTTTCATTTTTTCATGGTCACATCTACCTTTATATCATATGATTTATCCTCGTTACTTCTATGCCTTTTATCATCACTTTCTTTTATTTCAATTACTGCAGACTCAACTATATCCACTGAGGCATTCAAGAATTGCAGTGGTTCTTGTGTGTTGTTTTGTTCGCAGTATCATGAGAAAATCTGTATTACCCTATTTTTGTTAGTTGTTATATTATGTATTTTTGAGCTGTTAAGAGTTTCAAATGTAAGTCACTTTGATAAAGATGTCAGCAAAAAGTTAAAATCACTGCCTGAAAATATCCATACTGGCAGTTCTCACTGGCCTGTATGCTAGTGGTACAGTGGAAGCGGAGCTATTTATTAAAAATGTAGTCAAATTATTTTTTCTCCTCCTTTGAAGCATAAGGAAGTAACAGGTGACAATAAGTGTCACCTCACATATAATTGGTATAATTAAGCTAAACAAAGCTTTGTGCAGACTACATATATTCTGTCATATCTGACGCAGTGGGTATTAATTGCTAGTTAATTAACCACAGCAACAGTCAAGTGTGCTGAGCAAAAGATTAATTATCTAGCAATTAAATGCCCACCATGAGGAAAGCGACTCCTTCTAAACCAGCATTTTTGATTGTGACGCAAAATATCTTTTTTCTCGAATTTTATAATTTTACTGTTTTATGTGCATTTCTTTTATCTTCATTTTATTATTGACTTACCATTGATATTGTCAGTGAATCAAACACAGGCAAAGTTATCTATTCTTCCAATACACAAAAGGCTTTATACAACTCAACAACAACTGAGCGAAGACATATGTTATATGTCCAGATATTTTTCTGTGTTTTTGATATCAATGGGTTGACTTTAAACATTCTGAAGCCCAATGTGAGTCTATGCTTTCACCGATATCAGTGTAGATGAGCCTTTTGGACTGTTTGCAGTGTTGCAATAGTGAGTAATAAATTGTCCATCTACAAGTCTATTTAAACCACAAGTAAAATTCCAACAGACTTTTTTTTAAGGTACAATGATCCACAAAAATAAGTCCTCCGGAAAAAAAAATCTACTAAATATGGAGTCTTTTAATTTCTAATAGCACATTAAAACAAAGACAGACTCACTTTTGGACGCCTAACTGGGACCTACTTGCATGAATTTGTGAAAACCCTGAAGCCAAATTGCACCTCTGTTTAAAGCTCTAAATTGAAGATTCCCACAAAGTGATTTTCAACCACTGGGTAGCAACCAGCTGCTCCCTGATGAGTTGCTAATTAAGCACACTGGCAGGACAGGGTGTGTGGTACTGCAGGATATCATCACTCCTTGCATGCCTTCAACAAGCTGCAAAAGTGGTGATATTCCAAAACAGCACACACCCTGGAGTACTAAATTGCACAGTGATTGTAGAGTGCTGAGGAAGTCATTATAAATGAAAAAAAAAAACAGAAGATGTATTAAAAGCATTTTGTTTTTGCAATTCACCATATGGAATAGTATCTAACCACAAAAATTCAAATTTGACATTGCCAAAGAGAATTTTTGAGCAGTCATTTAATCTAATCCTGCTGAAAATGCCATTTTAAATGTGGAAGACACAAATGGAGGAACAAAGTTTTGTTTTTTTAACATTCCAGAGCAAAGTTTCTAGCCAAAGCTCCATTGAAGCAAAGAAATCTTACAAAATGTGGTTGAATGTAAGACATCAGGGTATACCATCAACAGAACAACACACTGCCAGTTGAAATGAAGAAGAGGGGATTATGCTGTATAATTACTAGTTATTGAAAGTACAGTAACCCTTTAACATTGTGCCATTTTCCACTGGATTTAGGGTAATGAAGGAGTGTGGTTCTAACTAATTTTGACAGTACAGAATCACATGCTTGTAATACACTAGTACTCACTGAAATCCTGCTATGAGTATGAAAATGGATCTCAGTGATACCTACTGCTACATATTTGGACTTTTATATTGTATCTGTAGTCCGCTATATGCCTGCAAGGTAGCCAAAATGCATGCTGTGACTGTTTACTGTGTCTATCAGGCCTTAGAATGGAATTTTATTTTAAATAAATTGTTTGTACTCCGGGGGGTCAGACAAGTTCACAACAAGAAGTAAGTTATGCATGTTCTGTAGACTTTGCAGCAGGAAAAAAGTTAGGAAAAACATTAGCAGCATATATTGAGGGTATTTTTCCCCCTTAGAGGATCAAAATAACCTTGACACTTGAAATCCTTCAGCTAAAGGGAAGAAAAGGAAAGACCACAGCATATAAATTTGAGATTCCCTATATAGCTGAACATAAAGAACTATTGAAAACAGAAGACCATTAAATAAATAAACAAGGACATCTAGTGGCAGAAACAAAAATGTGTCAGGATTAACAGTGCTTATAAAACATGTACTGTGAGATGTGCCTAGCAATGGACCTGATTTAAATAATACAAAGATTTGGAAATTAACCCCTGGTGTCTTGGGAAATTAAGTAATTGTGGATTGGCTGTGCATCAAAGTGAGCCCATGACAGAACGCATGTGTGCACACTGCATTTGTGCAGGTTTGTGATTCAAAGACTTACGAAATCCTTCTCCAGTTTGTCGAGCTCCTGCTTGTAGCTCTTCAGCCTGCTGTTGTACATGCCTCGGCTCTGGACAGGGATCTCTCGCACCTCAAGGTCCATCTGCTCCAGCTGCAAAATCCAGACAAAGCGAAAGGTTCTTTCATCCCCCTCCCACTTCCAGAATGCCAGGCAGCTAAAACAACCTCTCCCGCAGGTAAGGCTGCAATTTCTACAGCTGCTTGACAGTAAAGAGATGTCAAAGGCTGCTTTCATAGCCAGTGATTGATCACCGTGCTGTCAAAACGTGTCACTCTGTGGGCCCATTGTACCTGCGGGCATCTGTAAGGACCAGAAAAATAACGAGGCCAACAGAGCACATTGTCTCCTGACCCTTCATTCATGGCTGCACTAGAGTAGAAATCAAAACAGGATCACATTCGTACAAAGAAGTGGTACAACATCCACATATGTTTGGTGTTTTTGCTCAAACTAAGCACAGTACACAATTTCCTTCAGTTATAACCAACCTAGCAGAGTGCTATAGTAACCTCGAGGCCCTTATCACGGAGACCACTACTTTCAGAATTTCTGCAAAGAATGTGAGTTAATGCTACTTGTACGATGATTTCAGGCAAGTTCTGTCATTTATTTCTTCCCATTGGAATGATAGTTGTCATTTTATTTTGTGTACTTCCCCAATGTTGAAAACTAAGATGTATAAAAAGTATTGTTCTCCTGCAAACAAAGGTCACTGTGCACCTGCACTTCATTAATGAAGTCAGCTCCCTCCTAATTCTGCTTTAGGATATATTGTCCATGTATGTTTGTTTATACATATACAGTATGGGTTTGTACACAACATACTTGTCATTAGTATTACAAATAAGCAAATAACATCTCATTCCAAATTCTTTACAGAGCCACAATGAAGCAGAGCATCAGTAGACACAGCCAAGGAAACTGGGACACAGCTCAGCTAATTTCCTGAAAAAAACAGCCTTCTGGGCTGGTTTATGACAGGTTTTGGCACTAGTAAGTGGCTTAGCCCCAAACCAAATGCAAGGAGTCTGTACGAGCTATTACAATAGCAAATTCTAAACATTTCATTGGTGTGCCAGTAATGGATTCAGATTTTTTTTTTAAAAGGTGATGTTCAGGGTAAACCTGAACTTGTTTATCTTGGACGGGACGCCAGTCCATCGCAGCGCAGACACACAGACTCAGACATGCACACACTCGTCAAGCCCGTTAACCTACTCGTATGTCTTAAGACTGTGGGAGGAAACCCACGTGAACAAGGGGAGAAAATCCACACAGACAGCGACCCAGGTCTGGGGTTGAACCCAGGGCCCAAGTGATGAGAGGCAGCAATGATATCCACTAAATAAACTTTGCTTTATGTAAATGCATCTCTCTCATTCCAATATTTGATCCCTATCTGACCCCATTAGAAAACTATTACTCATCCTTGAGAAGAAAGGCTCTAATGCCTCCCTTCCCTACAACCTGAACTGACACATACTCCCTTTGCCATTTCAATATGTACATACCCGCTCCAAATCAAAATATGGTATTAAAATGCACTTAAAAGACCATATAATGGCAAATGTGTCTCACAAAATATCATATGATCCCGTATGCTGTATTGTAGTTATGAATTTAAAGTTTGTTTTCCCGAGCATAAATTGAAGGTGTCTCTAGGGAGAAAAAGTTTTCAAATTCTGACAGAAAGAGAAAGTGTGCTATTTGAGATATATACAGTGATGTAATCAGAAATGACAGTCAATTGTGGATTCTATCTAAACTAAAAATCTACCTATGATTCATTTTTATAAGAATCATAAAAGATTGATTTAATATATTTCGCAGAAAAAAAGATATACAGATAAAGAGAGACAATAAACAAGAGGATTTCCCCCCCCCAGTTTAGAGATAAAATAGATCTAGGCACATACATACATGTACAGTATGTCCTCTATATGTTAATGGCATGTGATAGTGCTGTAACAACCACAAACATAAGGAAGAGATCGTGTGATTAACTTTCTGCATTCCAGAAGAGTCATCATCACTGCCAGCTAATTGTTGGTTGGGTAGACATTCTCAGGCAGTGTGACCTTGTCCCCAGTACACAGCTGCAACAATATACATGCGATACTATTTGCTCATGAATAAGATTAGTAATGATCATGATAACAAAACCCTTTATTGGTATAAAATCATTGTTTGTGCTTTCACGAATTGTCATCAGAGGAGCACATAAATAATAATTGTAATAGAATTCAGTGATGAATATAGCTAACATCCCTCCATCTCTAAAATGCTATTAATTAAGTGCAAAACATATAGTACAGGTACCCATGACTGATAAATATGGATCATTGTTCCTTACAGGTCTCTACACAGATGAAGATGTGTACTTCTTACAACTCAGATTTCTTAAGAGTACCAAACACTGATCAAATACATACCAACTCCCTTGCTTCTTCAAGCTGTTTCTCGACATTTAGAACCATTTGTTTCTTTTCTTCTGAAAGGGAACACAGAACAACATTGATGAATTGCAAGATGTTCACTTTCTGGCTTTTGATTAACAAACTGCAAATATAACAGCTAAAAAATAACACTCCATTCACGAAGTATTAGTCAAAAACCAAGTGTTAAGTCATATACATCATAATTCTGTCATTGTCACGTATATGTCTGAGTATTGATTCGAAAAAAAAAACAATACGCCACAAATCAAAATCACTGTAGAATTCATTCATCCAAACAATCACCAGAAAGCTCCTAAATGCCATGGCAACCCAGAGCCTATTGCTGAAGGGCAGGGCACAGACAGGGCTATACACAGACAAAAGCCCATAAGGAAAGTTTACACACAGCATATAACCTAACCAGAATGTCTTTGGAAAGTGACAGGAAAACCAACATGAAGACAGTGACAGCATGCAAACTCCACACAGAAGGTGTGCAAGCTTTTAAATAAATCATTTTTCTGTAGTCCAAAATGCATTATTAATTTTACGTGAATATATTGCATTCGCTCTTGATTAAAATCTGCAAAGGGCTGTCCCTACTTTATACTGAGAATGTCTTAGAAGTTAGAAAAGGGAATTCATTCAACTTTTTTTTCATTTCTCTGCCTCCAGTTTAATCTTTTAATGACAATTACTGTAGCAAAAATAGACTTTGCCACACTAAATGCTGGTGAAGCTAGAGATGATCTATCCCCTAGGGATTTTCTCAGATCTAGCCAGATATCAGAATCCATGAGACATGTCAAACAAACTTTGAGCTAATCCTCAGTGTGATGCGTCACTCTATGACAAACCTGACTGTGAAAGAAAATACATGTTTCTATATTTTTTAGCTTATCAAGCTCTTCGATTCAGGCAAGAAGACAAATGTTATATAAAACCATTTTCAGGAAAGAACTTGGATTTTCTTACTTAATTCCATCACTACTTAAAAAAACTAATTAACAAAAAGTATCACTGTTAGTAAGCCACTGTAGGCATAGATAGATTTAGAAAGGTCTGTGAAACCTTCATCAATTTTATCTTCAAATATCAATATATATCGTAGAATAAACAAACAGTATACACAATAACTTTGTTTTTACACATACAATTGCATACACTGTGAAGAGACAGCATACAATGACATCCAAATGTACTGGGGCAGCAACATTAAAATTTACTTTTGTTTTACATTTAAGCAAGAGACGTATGGGATCATGAAATCAAAACATCTTCACAAAACAATGCGTTTATTACTGCATAATTTCATGTATATAAATGACCATATTAGAACAAAAACTGCTCAATCCAGTGGTTTAAATGGATTTGAACACATTCACTTAAAGTACGTTTCAGAGCTTATTCCTTTGAGGCTATAACTTCATGAAGTCTGTGACCTACCAAATTTAACAAAACTTCATCATCTGATATGCTCTGCTGTAGAAATGGTTTCATAACTTAAAAATGTCAGTTTCAGATCTATTGTAATTACTGGGCTTATTACCTATATTTTAGCCTAGGATTACAAGGGGTTCTGTCTTTTTAGACTCTTCTCTTACTAACTTTGATAAACAGGTCAATCTGCATTTAATCTGTAATCCATAGTGATCTGTTTTCTTGAAGACACTAATATCCAACCCTGCTTAATGCTGCTTTTCCTTACTTTTGATCTGCACTGTACAACTTTCTTCACTGAATAACAACTCACAGTGGAAAAGCAGGAATGCAACAGGTCGGTGGCAACTACTCTGACTATATATCTCATGGGTGGCCAAGATCATAATTAAATAATTGTACATACACCTAATAATTCAAAAGAATAAAAAAAACGTATACAAGTTTTGTTTCGTTTTTTACAATCGGGCCTTAATCAAAAGGGCTACAACACTGCTAATGAGAATTCTACATCTTTAAAACAGATCCCAAGCCTTTCTAATCCTCATTTTGCCCTCAGGTGCAATGCTCATGCTGGTCATCAAATGCATTTTTAAAACCTGCTTGTACACATCAATGGTGCGTACACAATAAACAGCCTGAGGCATGATGCAAAGAATGAAACACTCTTCTATTTATTTGTGTCTCCATTCCTTGCTGTAAGCATTTAAAATATGCATGCCAATTTTAGAGATACAGCGCATTTGCAATTTTTTGTTCTGTTCGGTAAGATAAAGCAACCAGTGGATCGCAGCAGAAAATCTTTTGACATCTTCACTCAAATTTTAATCACCTGTGATTGACAGACACACACAGCTAGTCTTAATCTGACTCAAAATTGAACATTTGTACATAATTGAAGCTGACCTTGTGCCAGAGGTACTACTTCTTTTTAGGCAACTGAAAAGGCAAACCCCATTTGCTTCGGCAGGTGAAAGCTGAATGCTTCAGAAAAATGACAATGGAAAATTTAAAATCTTGCATGACATTTATTTCCAGCCAGAATGATGCACATGATAAATCTAACAACAATGAATCCTCTGTTACCATTGTTAGGATAACTGTAATACAGCTGGAAATAGGGACTGTTGTCAAATAAATACTATATATGCAATTAAAAAAATCTTCCAAACATGAAATTGAAATTCAACCTCATTGTTGGTGGCGTTATTACCCTCTACTTCCAAATAAATCATTTTGCCTATTTAGAAAAATATATAAAAATAATATTTTGTCTTGCTCAGTTTATTGTGAAATTGCATACCATAGTTTAAAAAACATTCTCTTGGTTACTGTAACAAAATTATAGTAATTACAAATATTTAAATCCTACATTTTCTTTAAGCATAGTGCCAGTTAAAATTGTTACAGAATTTATTGTTTTTTTGTACACTGACAAATGTTTAACTTTTAATTGTGAATTCCTTTATTTTGTACCCTAGTCTTAAGATGAAATTAAAACAGTTTATTATGGAGGAGTCCAATAAATAATGGACTCGGAGAGATTCAAACACCGTGGCTGTGTGGCAGAAGTTGAAATGATGGATTGCAGAGATCAGCTATGTTGGGGAAGCAAATCCGATGGAAGAAAACCTATAAGCACAAGCATGTTCAAAGAATCCCTTAATATAAAACTGGAACTCACATTGCTTTGAAACAATGACACATTTGAAACAATCCAAACCTCACACTACTTAGGTTTTCCCAATAGATTTTGGTGTGTTTTCTGTCAGTTTGTAGTTTTTAAAACTCGACAAAGAGGGGGCTTTGTCTCATCTTGACAAAGAACGCTCAGCACTCACATTCATAATCCCATCTAGTGCCACTGCAATCAAACCCTGTCACTTTTTATTCTAGATTTAAACCAAGACAGCGCAAAAAGTGAGAAAAAAAAGATGACTTGGCCTGTGTGGTATGTTGATCTTGCCAATATCTTAAATGTTATTTAACGGTATTCACCAAAGCTGTGACAAGACACTACAAACCTTATCTACAGCTCTCTTGATAGGTTGTTACTTACAAGGCATAATCATCCCTCCCATCTGATTCTATTGACCAAAAAAAAAAGGTTTAGGCCTTAAACTGGGCCTACTAAAGAAATAAATACTTCCTAAAAACAAGTGATCAAGCGTGAGCATTCAAAAACTATTGCACATACACAACATATAATATAAATCTAATAATCAAGACATTAAAAAATATTAAAAATAGCCAATTATGCTTCAATACTACAATATACAAGCTCTTTGGCAATTTTAACACAGCCAAAAATCAAAACACTCCTTTAATAATAGATATGCATTTTAAGATATAAGACATGGGAGCTAGTTATGGCACAAATATTGCCATTATTACAATCTAGGTACTAGAATATAGTGCTGTAAAATTTGCACTCCATTGTCAGTTATTTCAACTGTACTTAGTGAAAACAGAAATTAATACTTCAAAGGAGGTTAATGACCAGTGAGATTATGTAAAAACAAAGATGTTTACAAAATTGGGAATCTTACTGCAATATTAACACTTCAGAATTTAAATCCTGAAAGGTATGGATTTAAGTTTAAAAAACAACTAGTCCAGAAACCTGCCAAAAGTTGGTTAGGGGCTCCTAATGATTTGTTTCAAAAGCCATACTCATTACAAGTTAAACAGGGATATGCCCCACGATCATAGTGTCTTGATTTCTTTTAGTTAAGATCATTTTTTCACTTGGGTTTGGTCCTTGGGTCAGGTCACCACAGGAAGAGAAATAGTTCTGAACTCTGCATTTTTCTAGAAAAATATGAGATGGCCAGCCAACAGCTATGGAAGGAATGATGAAACACTAGCAGAGGTAGTGCTTGCTTCAGATCTATTCAAGAATCCATTTTTGAAGTTAGCAATAACAAAGATGAGGGGTCAGCAGTACCTTAAAAACCTATACAAAGCTTTCTATATAAAGACTATATGTATTTTTTGGTTTTAGTTTATAAATTCATAGTTTTATCATGATAATTTGAAAATGTTGTACTACATTTATTACCAGCCGGAATGGTGCACATAGATCTATCAACAATGAATCCTCTGTTATCACCATTGTTAGGATAACTGTAACACAGCTGCAAATAGGGACTGTTGTGAAATACTATATATGCAATTAAAATAAAACAATTACAATACAATTACAATGTAATTATAAAAGCATTAAATTATATTTACAGATGTATATAGATTTGTTGATTTCTCTTGGTTTGAAGTCAAAACTGTTTTCTAGTTTTATACAAATATCCAAAACAACAACAATGCCCTCCTGTTTGCACATTTACAACACCATAAATGAGACCAGGTTACTGAGTCAATTACTTTACCAAAAGTCCTTCATAATCTCATTTAAAAGTGTTCCAAAGGTCAGATTGTTATCTCAGGCACCTTTAGTCCTTTTGTTTTCAGATTCAGGATGAAAGGCCATTAAATTATCTGCGATTGTAAGCAATATAATTTCTGCTTTATAAGGAATACAATCGCAACTGTGGTACTTCTCGTGCATGAGTTACACCAAATATCTACATCATTTTGTTTCATACTTGACCTTATGACGTACTTTCCACTACATGAAAGAGCAGCAAAATTAAAATCACAAAGAGGTATGATGCGGTTTAACAAACAAGGAATGAATGACTCATGCATACTACATTCTAACAGGTTTTCTTAAGAAAGAACAATATTAGTTGCACGTCTAGGCTGCCTGGTCTGAGTGGGCTTTTATTTGTTGAGATATATGGTAGCCTCCTGTAGGTACATAAATCAATGTAATTCTAAACTATTCTTGATTTAACTCCTGACTTAATCACTTTCAAATTATTATTTTGTCACACAATGCAACCCTTCATCCTGCATTAGTCTCCAGTGGATAGTAAATACCAGCATGCAACACATATTTAGTCCTTAAAGCAGGCATCCAAAAAAAACAAACAAATATTGAAACAAAAGTCAAATGGCTATCAGAAAGCACTTTAATAAAGCTGTGTACAATTTAAAACATTAGTGCTATCAACAGTAAAGTAGCTCTCCATACAACCGGCAATTGGCTTCACTATGACTCTGATAACATTTATTGTGAAACTGACAACAAGTAACTAATCCCACATAAACACAAACAGTATTCCGCAAATCTGGGACAAGACACTACACACTTTTTTTTAATCAACGCTCATGACAGGCAGTATATTACAAGATAAGCTTTTGATTCTGTTGACAAATGCAGGTTTTTAAAACCTTTCTACGTACCTCCTCCCAGTTTGGGGACTTTCCCGATCTTATTAGTAATTTCTGCCGTCAACGTGCTAAAGTCCTGCTCGTAAGTTTCGAAATCCGAAGACATCTTCACTCATATATTTTATAATAACGATAGAAAACGATTAAAGAGCCCAAAAATGTGTATTCCTCAGTGCACAGTAAGTCCGTCACTTCCTGGTTGAATCCTCACAATTTCCTACCGATGGGGAAACAGAAGGATGATACTTCGGGTTCCAGGGATGTTACGTAAATGTAACATTAAACTTATTGCTCACGTCCAAAAGTAGAAATTAATAATTAAAACATTCTTAATTAATGTATATTTTAGTATGTCAGACGTTTCTGCAATAATCTCTTTGTATGTGCTTTTTATTTTTTTATGTTTCTACGTAAATCTAGCGCTCAGCAAATATTTGTCTTTTTCATTTACATTTTAGTTCATAGGAGTTTAGAGAAAATGTAAAAGCCCCTAAAGTATAGACTTGCTAAAACTGATCACGCTCCATAGTCTTAGTTCAGAGTACACTGATTGACGGGGGGCGGAGGTGCTGTAATACTGTAACACCTTCAGGAAGTGTCAGAAAGAAGCTAGGAAGCGGAGAAGGGAGGTGGGTCTGACTTAAAGAGACAGTTAATGTCTCTACACTTAAAAAATGAGCTTTTGTCCATTCAGTCTAGTTTATTGTAACTTCAGGAAATGAGCGGGAATTGCTAATTGTTTTTCACTTATTTATTTTATTGTCGTACATGTTTTCTTTCTATCCTCAAGGCTGGAGGTACTGAGAATCTGGCTTCATCATCATGAGGTCTGAAGGAGTTAGAGCAGTACGTAGATTATGAAGCGTAAGATAAGAAAGTGCTCGGCTTTCATACTGCGATGAAATAGGACGATCTTGCAAATAATTCAGTTCCAAACACAATATTTAAAAACCAGACAATTAGAGATTTTAAAGTTCAGACAAGTTAACGGCATAATGGGATTCAGAAAAGGAAATTCTGCAACAGAAGGTTCGTAATAGCAGCAATAGTTGCTGCCTAGTGTAGTCCTTGCTTCATGAGTGCAGTACAGTTGAGCGTTTAGTGCCATGGATCTTACAAAATTATTTTAAAATATTTTTAATCTCTATGCATAAATTAAACCCCAAAGCTGAAACAGGAAAAGTTATAGACCTATTGGAAATTCATCTAACCGTTTAGTATTGTTGTCTTTCATCAGTGCAAGGTCAGTTTTTTAAATCAGTGATTACAATCTATGTGGTTTTTGGTTTAGAAAATCACAAGGTAGTTGATATTTATTTCTCGGTGAGTACAATATATCTTTTTATGTTTATAAAGCTGTTTAAACTAAGAAAATCGCACATGTGCCTCAATTGGAAGATCGTGAGTGATCTTGTAAAATTCTTAAAGACCTTTGTCTGAATGTGTGCACTTCAATGAAATGTCGAATTGGTGTAAATAGTACTGTTGCCTTTATTCCGACTTGACTCACGCCTTTTTTAGCCGGACTCGGAAAGGGATTGGAGATGATTCACAGTTAAAAATAGTTTAATGTTTCAGCTCAGGCGGAACCGTGTGCTTTCTCCGGCGGGACTAAATAAGATTGGGGTTTGACAGGTGGTTTAGCAGAGCAACAACAAAGATACCGTAGAACGCGAAGATACCCGTTGAAAAGACGGCTATTGTCCAGACATGTATCTTAAAATGATTTTCAGTCTTTGAAACAAGGATTTAATATATTATTTAATAATATATATATATATTCTAGTTCTGTATGAAACACGGTCAGACAGGTAGCAGTGAGGCAATCTAAATGTGAAAGAAACTGTTGTTACAGGTACCTTAGTTTTTACTTCTATTTAAGTAAAGGAGACATTTTTTTACATGGGTGTGGTTCTCAATGACGCATTACAAACAAACCTGTAGCAAATGAGTATTTCTCTAGTTACATAGAATTTAAGTTTTTGTATACTGTATGGAATTCACATTCCCTTTCATATATTGAACTACAAGACGCCTTGTTCATTATTTAAAACGTCACTGTTTTATTTTCATTTCTAGATGGAGCACATCCTTCTGTTAGGAGATCAGCTAGCACTCACCAAGTTGTGAAGAAGAATGCTACACCTTACCCTAAGAGGATGCACTGAGAATTGGACTGTTCAGACTACTTTGAATGTGACAGTCTGGATCTTTGGCAGGAAAACCAACAACTGCACATCAGATTTTGGGGGGATTAACCAAGAAAAAGTGGGGGAAAAAACCACCTGATATTTTTTCACAAAAAGCATTTAGCTGCCATTTAAAAAAAATGAGTATTCTGTCTTCATTCATTAAATTTGAAAATCTACATGAGCTGAAGCGATTGTGCCATTGGGGTCCTATCATAGCCCTGACAGTAATAGCTGTGTGTTCAACAATGGCTGTTCTGGACTCCATCATTTGGTTTTGGCCTTTAGACTCCACCGGTGGAAGTATCAATTTTATCATGTTGATAAACTGGACTGTTCTTATCCTCTATAATTACTTCAATGCCATGTTCGTAGGTCCTGGCTACATTCCCCTAGGATGGAAACCGGTAAGAACTTCGAGGACAGAAATCCATTGCTTCAACAGAGACATTTGCACATAATTTTAGTTTATTACCTGCTATTCACATTTCTCTCCTGCTGATAGCAGGACACATATCCACTTAGTTGTATTTAGTGGATTTCTTGAAGAAATGTGATTTAATTACATTTTTGTATTCTGAATTTGTGATTGCCCAAAGTTCTGCAGGTATTGCTTGCATTAAAATGAAAGTAGGAGTAGTATGCTTGCATAGAGCTGACCATAAAAAGATTTAGTGATGACAGAAGTACAGTATTCAGAACAGTATGTTTTTTTTTTTCAGGAAAATTCCTACTGCCACTCTTATCACTCGCATAACTTATCGGTGAATATGGAAATAGGAATCTGCTTGCTTTTAAACTTGATGAGCACAGGTTTAATAAACCAGTATGTGGACTGGTAGCTTACGTTCCACATTACCAAACTAAAATACAGTCCTTCCTTTGCATGTCATTTCTCATCATATTACATTTCTTAATATGTTAGAGAAGTTGTGGTTCTATAAAAATCTTTGGATAATCATTATTTCACTTTCAGTTACTCGCAAGTATGTACATGCTAGATATTATAGTATGTAAGTACAACATGTATAAATATAGTAGATGTATACACCAGTAGTCAGTATGATCACGAGACTGTTGAACTGAGCGTAAATGCTTTAATACCTTGTTCATGAGAAGGCATCACTCTATCTCTACAGTAGCTCTTATTGTTGCTTCATTTAAACGAGGCTAACTGAATGCACCTTGTAGGCTGCATGCTGAGTGAAGTTTGCTTGTAATACTTTTCATCTGCAGAATTTTCAACAGAGCTGATTCAGTTTTCTTTAACTTGTCTCTTCATATGCATTCTCAGAGTGTGGAATTAAAGCTTTTACTTTCCTGCCCCTTACTGCCCCATGTCTTTCATAGTAAATTCTATCAGTTATAAAGAATATGTGAAAAAAGACTACTTCAATTTTATTTTGTCAGGTAAAAATAAAGTATTTAGTTCTGACTTTTTGCAGTTATAATGGTAAGAATAAAGCCCACACAAGCTTTATACAGAAGACATCATAGATTTTCAGGCATTAGTGAGAATAATGTCTGTTAAAGAAGCAGAAATTTTAAAGAATGCCCAAACATTCTCTTGTAAAAGTAGTGACTCCCTTTTATTAGCCTTAATTGTATGCATTCCTTCTACTTCATTCCTTCTAAACCCTTTGCTTTAGATTTTGTAAAAGTAAGCAAGATCAAATACTAAATAAGTACTGTATAAATCAGTTCCTTTGCAGAAAAAAGAGAAGAGGCATAGAAATTATTTTATGAATTAGGTTTCCTCTGGGGCCTGAGGACACTGGGCTCTCAATTCAGTGCTGAGTCACACTAAGTAGAATGAGGAAACTTTGCCAGGTTGCATACAATCGGCCACTTGAGAGTGAATATTGTTTCCTCACATTCAAGAACTTGTATGAAGTTTCTTATTCACTTCATATATTAGGTTTAAGAAACCTCTGATTATATCTGTATTGGTCCACCAAGCCTCCAAACAGTGTAATCAGTTGAGGGGAATCGATGGGCATGGGTTTTGTACTCTAACCTCATGTTAAACTTAGACTGCGTTGCTTCTTATTTCAATAGGAGAACCCACAGGATATGTGTTACCTACAGTTCTGCAGAGTTTGCCAAGGTTACAAAGCCCCAAGGTCACATCACTGTCGCAAGTGTAACAGGTAAGGATATGTTACAGGCAGCTACGGACAGGTAATTCCATAGTGGTTATTATATATTCTGGAAAACTTGAGACAAACTCATGACCTCATCAATTATTAAAAGGTAATTTTAGGCTTATTAGGTTATTGAATAAAGTGACTCATATTTAACATCTTCAGGTAACAAAATGCAATTGTTTTATTTCTGTAATTTCAACTTGGCATAGTAACAATAAGAATGAATGGTAATATTTAGCAACAGTTTTATTTAACTGTTATATTTTAGTTGTGTACTTTTTTGGTTAGAAGTATGTAAGCCTAACGAACATTTCAAAACTCTGAAATCAGATTTGTTTTTCTTTTGAAGCAGCTTGGTGTGCCTTCTTGTGGCGTCATGGCATGGCACCTCACTGGTCTACTGCGATAGAAATAAATAAATGCACGTTGTCTGACGTTCTGTGCTTGAGAACTACTTCCGGGCTCCAGACCACATTTTTGGGCCTGGAGCCCAGAAGCAGGACTCTTTTTGAATATACCAAGCTGAAAAGGAAAGGAAAGAAACACAACATTATAGCTCCTGAGCCTTCTTCTGACATTGTACTCTCTACAGCCGAAATGTTGTGTTTCTTTTATTCTCACTGTGGAATAAACTTATACTTGTTCCTTTGCAGCCTATGCATGCTGACACAACTACCTACTTGAAACTCTTTCTTAATATACTACTATTTTGACTAAATGCACATTCCATGTAGGAATGGAGTTGGTTATATAAATCTGTGTCTGCTTGAAAGAAATCAGTGCCGAATGATATATTTCCACATTTATATATTATCCAAAACGGATATTTAGTAAGGAAAAATTGACTCAATCACTGTGCTCATTTGTTCTGGATCTAGATTGATCCCTATAGTCCAGAGATCCCCAGAATATGTCTTTAGCTCCCTCTGACATAGAGTCCTCCAATATAAGTACCACAAACGCTGATTGAATTTGTATTGACCAGAGTATCCTCATCTGGCCATACAGCAGACACCTCGGTGCATTGCCTGGTGCCTGTGAGCTTGCAGTCTTGTCTGTGAAAGCTGCATTGGTCCTTCAGTCATTAATTACTCTCCTGCGCACTGGGGGACTTGCAGGCTTGCAAAGAAACTTAGTTGATTAACTATTGGCATCTCTAAATTGTGGCAATAAAAAAAGATTCAACTGTACAGTATGCAATTTCAGCTCAGGCTCTACAGTATAAATGGAATGGAGGATCTGAAAACACAGGAAGTGAAATGTACAGTAAGCGGGGTAATAAATATATATACTGTATATACTCTAGACAGGTTTAGATTCAGGAGCCTGGATATTATTTCAGACTGTCTTAAGGGATTCCCCCCATAAAAGGAAACTTTTCACAAGCTTAGAAGTGTGTAAAATCATCAATCTCCCACAATGGACACAAGTTATAGTGAAGCTGTTGATCTTTTTATAATAAATATGAAGCTGTTGATGTTTTATATAAAAGAAATATGTCCGTTAGCATGACCATATGATGAAAGTGGGAGTCCTTATGGAGGCTAATTTCTTGAAAACAGGTTCTACAATTAGAAAAGGTTGAAAACACCCCTGTTCCAGATTTCCGGAGACTTTAAATGTGGAGATAATTAAAATTTGTAATGTTTGACCTTTCTTTTGTTTTTTCAGGTGTGTGATGAAGATGGATCATCATTGCCCATGGATTAACAACTGCTGTGGTCACCTCAACCATGCCTACTTTACTAGCTTTTTGCTGTTGGCCCCACTTGGGTGCATCCATGCTACTGTTATTTTTGTAATGACTATGTACACACAGCTGTATGATAGGGTAAGAGGCATCAGGAGAGTTAATTCATCGTGAGAATTAAAAAAAAACTCCCTTCTTATTTCTGTAATCACACTGAAAGAATAATAAGTAAAATATGAATATTTTATTTTTATAATAGTTACAATTATTTATAATGGTTTAGAATTATTTTGATACAACTCACATGAAAGTCTTCAACAAAGATGTAGTATCTGGTTTCAGACCAGGGATATTGTTCCTAATACAGTACTTAAACCTCTTTGTAATGAACAACAGAATCATCAGTTTAGAGTTTTTATTGAATATACTGTTTTTGTTGGCAGTATTTCTATCACATTTATAGCAAAACATTCTTACTTAACCTTGAATGTAAACAATGTTAAGAAGGTCTTTCTAGCATGATAAACTGATAGAGTAATTAAAATATCATTTAACCAGAAATTTCCAGATTATTTCACTGCTGATTGGGCTACAGACTTCTTTGATCAGCAATTAAAAGGACGTATTCTTTCGGTTTTGTGACTCGGCAAGACATGCTATTGGTTGCAATATTCAGAGTGCTTTAAATGTTTTCATCCCCAAAGCTTCTTCGTGGCAAGAGGTACTCAGGGCATTATCAGTGTTGCATTATATAAGGACTTGCAGTTCTGAATAGTCCAGAAACACCTATTGTAGGGCTTGAAACCCACTGCAAGATACAAGTTTGAATACCATGTATTAGATGCATCTGAAACTTATATTTTGTCATTTATTCCACCATTAAGCTCACTTTCAAGAATGTCTTAATTTATGATCAGCACTGGCATTCCTGACCAGAAGAAACCTCTTTCCTTAGCCACTGAACTAGTAAGCATAGCTTATGTGATGAACACTGACAGAAGAAATGTTGCTTCAAACATTCGTAAGGAGTTTTGTTTCCTGTGGTGACAGATATCGTTTGGGTGGAGCTCTGTGAGGATCGACATGAGTGCTGTCAAAAGAGATCACCGGCCCATCATTCCCTTTAGCGTCTCAGCCTTTGCTGCAACTCTGTTTGCCTTTGGGCTGGCACTTGGCACTACAATAGCAGTTGGCATGCTGTTTGTCATTCAGGTACTAGAGACTCTGCTGTACTCCTTAGTGTTTTGTTTATGTTTGTGCAGTTTTATATTGTATAAATTAATGTTGTATAATTTGCTGGATTTTAATCCACAGATGAAAGTGATTTTAAGAAATAAAACCTCAATAGAAGCTTGGATAGAGGAAAAGGTGTGTACGTCATTTTTTTTTTTTATAACCAGTATTTGCTTTGTATTTTATTTGTATTTTAACAACAGATTTTTCTTCCGTTTTGTTTTTAATTTATGACTCTCAGAACCTCTGCATGTTTTATGTACTTTTAATTTTGTTTTCTTGTGATCTTTTTTTCATAAATAACTCTGCCAACATGTCTCTCCAGGCCAAAGACAGAATACAATATTACCAAACAGGAGAAGAGTTCATCTTCCCCTATGACCTGGGAAGCAAGTGGGAGAATTTCAAGCAAGTATTTACATGGTCAGGTACTCCAGAAGGAGATGGTGTTGAGTGGCCAGTTCATGAGAAATGTCACCAGCACACATTAACGGTAAGTGTTCTGTCAGTGCTTGTGCTGGCTTGTGAAATGTGCCACTGGGAAAACAAGTTGTCTTTAGATGTATCCAGTAATACCAACTGTTTTGATGCATACACTCAATAAAATACTTCTCCCAGTAGAGTTAGATGTTGTTTAAAGTTTATTTATGACTCAAAAAGATACCTACCTCTCTTTGTCTACTAAATTCCTGTTGGAATTTGATGGATCTATATTTTAACTTTTTGCATTTTAAAACAATAAGGACAATTTTCAAATTGAATTTTGAAAACAATATCTCTTTTTCTTCGGAAATGTATATATATATATGTTGTGCTTTGTGTTTCATTGCATTAAAAGGACTTAATATTCCTAGTGTTATGTACCGTATATCAGAGGAAATGGAGAAAGTAATAGCAATAGAAATCGCAAGCAATAAAGAGATAAAAGCTTCTTTAAAGGACAGCTTAAACTTCAGATTAAATCATTTTAGAGAAAAGTAAAAAATTGAACACAGCTTTGTTACCACACTTGATAGTACAACATGAAAAGTGTCTGACATGGTAAAAACAAATGATCATTCAAGGTAGCATTTCACACGGAATGTGTTTTTTCAGCATCTAATTATAGTTTGGGGGAATGTAAAAAGTATATACTGCTCAAATTAAATTTAATACATAACCCATCTTTAAAAATCCCTAAGCATTACTTAAGGGTTTTAATAAAATCCAACAATTCATACATACCTTTCCCCATTCGTTTAAAATACTGTACTGTATCATATTCAGCATAAGTACAATTTACTTAAACATGTTGTTTGTGCACTTCTTGAAAGCATTTTTTTTATTTTTTCTTCTTTTATTTTTGTCTACCCCAACCCTTTCTGTATATTATGGTATGCTGAATCTGGGCTGGGTATCACCCCTGTAAAATTCTTCATATTCAAGCTGCACTACACTAGTGAAAAGGCAATTTACTACTCTGAACAGTGAGAACAAACCCTATAAAAACCTCATGCAGGTAAATTCAGGGATACATACAGGCTGTTGTGAGTTTATTACTGTTTATTGAGAACATAGAGATGACAGAACCCAGGTATTTTAATTAATAACAGGGAGATTCTGAAACCAACTTTAAAATTACATTAAGTTCTTATATAGTAGAGTCGTGCATGAATAAAAGATGATCTAGTCTGTATGTATCTTTAGGAACAATGTTTCCTTTCTTAGTACTGTCAGTTGTTGTCATGACAAGGGATGGCATCTGGCAACAAAAAAAACTTTCTCAAATTGCCTGCTTGTCATGTTAAATCAGTGGAATGCAATCGGAGTAGACATTCGTTATTAAACCTAACTGCAGTCCTTGGCAAAAATCACATGGAAGCACTGCAGCAAGGGTGCTGTTTGAGCTAATTGCATTCCAGTGGTGAGTGAAGTCTTTAATGTTTGTGTATGACTGATTCATTATGGATGTTTTACGCCATGACATTTCATGACTGTATGGCAAAGTGAATGAACCATAACTTCTTTGTTATTTTTTTGCAGATTGAACAACTGAAACAGAAGGCTGATAAAAGAGTCAGAAGTGTAAGTACTGTGCTACTAAATTTAGAACACCAGGGGGCTGTAGAACTCTGTGCAGCTTAAATAAAAATGTTCTTAAGGCTTGTTCAATGTATACAGTATGTAGGCCGATTTCAAGCACAGCTCAGCTATTTTAGTTTTGTTATGTGACTGGAGGTGTTTTGAGGCAGCAGCTTGGTTTGGCGAATACTTGCAAATGCTGTGTTTTGCCAAAAACAAATGAGGCAGTGGGAGAAAACCACTTTCTTGCTTAAAATACCTGTCATCTCACAAGTGCTGTGAAAACAAATTGTGGATTATATTAAAGAAAATAGTTTTATTTTTTCAATATAAAGCACAAGCTTTTTTTCCCCTTATTGACAGGTACAGTATCGAGTGATCGAAGACTATAATGGTGTTTGTTGCCCACTCAGTAAGGGAGTGAAAACATTCTTCACAACCCCCTGCACTGAGGAGCCTAGAATTAAACTGACTAAAGGAGAGATGATCTTTGCCACCAGGAGCATAAAGTAAGTTCATTCAACCCATTAAGGATGTTAATAGTCACAGCTGTTCAGACGTGAATTAAGTTCTCATTTAAAAGTAAGAATATAGGTTTTCTTATTCATTCTGTGCTTTCTTATTGGAGAAATGCAAACATCTTGTTTTTAATAATCGGTTTGCCTTGTTTACTTGAGTAGTTACAGTTCTTAAAAGACAACTGATACCTAACTTTAAGGGGGTGGGGAATGAAGTGCCTGCAAATTGTGATGCACAAAGAGCCAGATTGCTTGCATCTTATCCAAGAGAGTTGCATATTAGTTAACAGTTACTTCATAATTTTCTTCAAAATCTATCTTCCTTTTTTCCTGGTTAAAAAAAAACGAACCGCCCTCCCATTTCTTGTCCTGACAAGTTCAAGATTGTCAAGATTAATGTACAAGTGCTGGCTAGAAAAAGAAACGCACTTTGTACTAGCTAGCCAATCAGACTGCAAATATCCTTTCGGTTTCTCTTCCTGACTCCATCACCTTCCCAGTCAACAATACAGTACATGGGCTGTCCAGCAGTTGTACACTTACTTTTTTGTCTAGATCAATTAAATAAACAAATTATTACCTATGTAGTCTAAAATTAAAAACATTTTTTTCTGTACCTGTGTATTGTTTTTGTGTTCTAATTCCTATATATTATGGACTATTTTCCTCAAAGTTACCAGACAAAATATCACTTTCAAGGTACATATACAGAGTTCTTTATTAGAAACTTGTTTTGTTTTAGTGATAGTGCCCTCTCATTGAAGGCTCTGTTAGATGACCTTGGCTACTTTATGGCCGTTGGCTTGACAAGTGACAGATAAGTGCGCTTATCCTCATCTTTCAACCATAGAACCTTTATTGAAGTGCTGGGCAGCGTTTGCTGAACACTGTTAATCTCAAAACAAAGCAAAAATTATTTAGCTTAATATGTGTGATTAAATATACCACTGACTGGTGAATTCATGAGTAGTTCATCACCATACATAATTCCATAGACACTAGTGAATTCCAGGACATGTTAAGATGGGAAGTGTTTTATTTCTATATTTTACAGATGGTGGATGTATGGAGATAAGGTGCTTGGTGAGGAACAGACAAAAGGTATAGCTTAAACTGGATTTGTATTGCCAGGCTATATAACAAACAGTGTTTAAAAAGACATTGCTGATGTCATTGAAGAAATTGTTTCAGCGTTAGAGACTTTTTGGCCTGTTTATAGACTTATAGGTCAAGTAACAGCAGCAACTGATAGGGTTGCTACCGTTACATGACCTATAATTTTAGAAAGAAAGGAATGAACCTACTGAAAATAAATTGCAGGTTACAAATTATCTATTTATAAATATATTTTATGATATATTATGTTAATCGTTCTGTAGAGGCTAGATAAGTATATGCTTTATAGATTTTATTTATTAATGTTATAAATGTTTTAAGTAATCATTAAAGACCATAAGAACAATTTTACATATGTACAACAAAGAAAGTAATTAGGTTAATTGTTTAATTGACTACTTGGATTGAGACAAAAGCAGAAGACACTGGGCCCTTCAGAAAGCTGGAGCCCCCCTGTTATGTTTAATTAATTATGTTTCTCTTTATTTCCGCATTTTGTTAAGATGAGTGATGGACCTTCTTGGGAATATTTTATAAAGACTGATTCTTAACTTTGTATTTGTTTGATTGGTTTTAGCTGGAGTTCGTATCCGAGGGTGGTTTCCACGGAGATGTGTTGAGAAATGCCTTTATGACACAGCAAACGATGCAGCAATGAATGAGGAGAAAAAGGAGAAGTGATTTTTTTTTCTTTTTGGTGGGGATATTGAGAGGGGTTAATATCTGGACACATTTTATTTGGTGGTTTTTGACATGTTCTTTTGACAGAACCCCTTACTTGAACCTTTTTCTCTGTTATTCTTGAATTATGCAATTTCTCTGCTTGTTTGAAGCAGGGTTTTGTGCGGTTAACTGTATTTCTTTGTACTGTGCGAATACATTTTTATTCTATTTTGTAACACAACCCTCCATTGTATGCCTTTGGATTTTAAAAAATTAAATCATGTTGCACCCCTGGACAGTTTGTTGATTACATGTATACATGTCCTTTTTATTTCTGTAACTGAGCTAATTATTAATCAAATGTAACCTCATCACACAGTTATGTGAATTAAATTACATCTATTTTAACTATGCTTTTCATGAAGCATTATGAAATTGAATTGCAGCCGCAGTACCAGTACAATACAGTACGGTTACAATACCAGTAACAGCATCAGTTTCAATGGATCTCTGGAGTCTTTACATCCCATAAATTAATCTGGGGGTAGTTTACATAATTAGATTTTAAATCATCTGCAATTTGTATTTTTATTTGCATGACAATTTGAGTTAATACAAAAGCTTTCATACAACATTTTCATTGTGTTTTTCCAATGAGTAGGAATGTTTTGATTCCCTTTATACTGGTACAAAGATGTTAGCATCTGCTCTCCAATTCTAAAGCTTACCACTTTAGAATCCAGGCTTACGTATTCTCTGAGGCCTCTTTAAGATTTCCAGGACTGCAGATATACCGAAACTGTTTGTTGTTTCAGCAAAAGTGTTAATAAGAAAACTCTTTTACTACCCATAACTACCGCTCATTTCAGAAGCAGGTAAAAAGTGGTAGCTTTCATGGGTTTAGGGTTTTCATACAGCTACCTCATCTATTTGACAGTTGTTGTGACATTTCATGGCTCTGTAGTAAGTACTGGTTTGGGTATTTTATCTCATAACCTCATCTTAGTCGTCCATATCTTCTAAATGTGTTCTCAGAGGCCTAATACAAACATAAAGAAATGCTTTCCTGTTAGGGAGATGATAAGTAGATATGAAGGGTCATATTTTACAGCATATAACTGTGACATTCCTCTGGAATGCTGCAGTTCTTTAGTGTGGCTCTTTTTTGTTTTGAAGCACACACGAGTCCACAAAGATAAATCAAACACTGAACTCCTTAAGATTATCATTGGAGTGCTGCATAGAGGCTGTCAATCTGGTCTTTGAAGAATTTGGTCAGCTCTGCTCTTTTTGCCTTCAGTGTAGGTGTCAGTAGTCCATTTTCGATGGTGAACTGTTCTGGGTAGAGATACAAGTCCTTGACCTGGATTAAAAAGAGAAGGAAATCTATTATAGAAATGCTGGACAAATCTTCCATTCAAAAAGTGTCTGATATCATTTAAATGATTTATAAAGTGACACATACAGTGTCAACTATTTAAAATAATTTCCCCACTGTAGTATAGTGTTCAAAATTGTAAAAACAAAGTGTAAACATCTGTTCTGATGAAGATGTCGGAGCACATTTTTAAATTATTTTCACTATAAAATGTGATTTCACATACTGTAGTTTCACATTTCACATGTTGGTTGTATGTGAGCAATTCTTCTTTATTCTAGGTCATATTAAACCGAAACATTGGAATACGCAAGAAAGCCAAATATTAAATATCGCATGATGATGATTTTCTGTTTGCCAGAGGTTTCTTGTCCAACAAAAAATCCACCATTGAGTATTGTGTAGTGTGATATTTTTTTTTAAATTTGAGTGACTCAAAGTTTTGATTTAAAAAATGCCATAGCCTCAATTGGAATGAAACACAAAAAAGGTGCTTACTTGTTCAAAAGACTTAAGCCCAGCCTGTTTTCCTAGCCTCACCATGTCTGCAAGTATTGCTTTTTTAATTTCCTGCACAGAAACCAGACCAGAGGTTAGTTAGAAAAACGAAGCAGTAAAAAGGTAAAAAAAAAAATTTGATTACATACTGTACCTTGTTTATGCAGAGCTCTTTATAGGAACCTTTGATGCCTAATTTTACTGCAAAATCTGGAAGCACTTCTATATCTGGTACCACAATGCCTACCAAACAGGACTAAAAAACAATAAAGGGAAATATAAAACAGTGTGACAAGATTTATGATCCCATGAATATCAGATGCTGCATTAGCTATGCTATGCATTAGCATGCAGGCATTTCATGTACAATTTCAGTTTAGTGCAAGGTATGACACCCATTTCTAAATTAGTGCAAACACAACGAGTGCTGAATGGAGATTTTAGGCTGGCATGAAAAATGTCAGTGTTGTATACAGTATGTATGACTGCACCAGTTACTCTATATCACCACTTAGAAATGCCCCAGAAAATTGTTTACATGACATTAAAAATACTTCAGGAACAGCATGAAGGTGGTACATTAGTACAACGGAATTAACGTATGAGCTTTTATCTGAAGTCTACAACTCATCCAAGGTGAAGTCCTATCCCTGTTTGCTGAACTTTACTGAAGGATAACCTAACAAGCCAGCAGTGTTTTACCTGTAAGCTGTCGCCATGCACAAATACTTGAGCCACAGGCTCACTCCGCACATACACGTTTTCAATCTTCTCAGGAGCAATATACTCTCCTTGTGCCAGTTTGAAGATGTTCTTCTTCCTGTCAATGATTTTAAGCACTCCACTCTGAAAGGAGAGAAGTTATATTTTTTACTATTACTGAAGAGGGACAAATACTGTGCCAGAAGTGCCTTCCAACAACATGTTCTTTTGGCTTCAAGGATAAAGTAGCGGTTAGTAACATCAGTGGTATGGCATGACCTCATAATGATTTTATTGCAGAAACTGAAAAATAAATGACCAATAGGAATACTTGAGGCCCTAGTAAGAGGCCAAATTGAGATTATTAAAATTAAAAAGAAAACATTTTTATGTAGTAAGCTCTTCTTCCAGCAAACAATTCTTTTCTGTTTGAAATCCTGTCCCTAAGGAAATGGGTTTCTGGGTGTCGGGCATGTTTTTAATTACAGGCAGTTCCAAGCAGGCTAGGGCAAGTCCTTAATGTAAAGCAACAGGTCTAGTAGCCAAACAAAACTAACTGGGATGCCCACTGAGACATTAAAGCAGTGAAATTAATTAACATTTCCAATATCCAGGGCCCCTTGTCCAGCTAATAAACTCAAGAGCTATGTATTATACATTATTAGATATACAATACAGCAGATTTTAATAATGTCAGTCTCTGAATGTCATTGTTTTGTTGTATGATATGCTCTTTGAAATTTGGATGCATAAAGGCAGTTCTCTACAAAAGTGAGCAACATATGAAGACATAATCTAAAGTGAATAGGTTCTAGTACAGTCCTTTTGTCAGTTTTGAAGAGCTTTTTAATACTTGATTTGCAATTGATGGTTAAACAGGAAATAGTTTAAAATAGAGCAGTGCAAGTTAATTCCCAAGGACGTGGTCCACAAACACACAAAGACATTGCAGATGAATTCAGTCAGGATTGGGTTTATAATAAAGGAAGGCTCTTACAGGAAGCCACTTTCCAATGTCTCCGGTATGCAACCACCCATTCTCATCTATAGCTTCAGAGGTTTTTTCTGGGTCCTTCAGATATCCTTTAAACACATTTCTGCCCTTGATACAAACCTAAGAGACAAGAAAACCAATAAATATATATGTAATGAGTCAAATGGACCTGGACTTAGGGTCCTCTAAAACATAAAAACCCCAGCCCCTTTCTGTTACCACTCTCAATATTTTTAAAGATGTAGAAACGTGCATCTCACACAATACACAGTACACAGTACACATCAGTCATGCTTCAAACTGTCTGCACATGGTGTTTTGACGCATACAGTATGACAGATCCATGTTGCACACACTCATAGCATTTAACAGTAACACTGAGAAACAAAGGCCAGAATAATAACATTTGCATGATTGGATTAACATGACTAACACATAATGTAGAATTAATCAACTTGTTAGTCCAATTAAGGCCTCGATTAGGTAATGAAAGTCAGCAGGTTTAGAGTTTGGTGTGTAGGCCACCAGAACCAGGATTGGGAACCACTGTTATATTGCAAAGAAACAAATATTGTCAAATAAATATATGTTTTTTGTTTATACCAAAGGGTTAATACAACCTGATTTGCTCAAAGATAAATCTCCTGCTATAAAATTCAAAAGAAATGCACAGATATACAACTTGTTTTTTCAACTCAATATTTCCAAATATAGTGGCCTGTGAAGGTTTTATTTACTTTGTCTTGGCACAAAGATTACTTTAGCTGTCTTTCTAAGAGAATAAAAAAAAAACATTTGTAAGTTAAATTAGTTATATTGCAACAAAACAAATATAGTCATCATACAGTATATGGAATAAGCATAAGCAAAAGAATTTTGTTCCTACTTGTTCCCACACTGTGACCCCAACTTCCCTCCCACAGTTCTGCATAAAAACACTATACAGTAATATTACGGCTGTTTATAATCAGAATCCAACCCTACGCAACTCCCGCAAACTAACCTGCACTGTTCCTAATAAGACTCCAGTCTTATCTAATTCCTGCGAATGGCGTCGCATTGACTAATCAACCAATCAGACCTTTCCTTCATCACCTCACCCGCTACCTCCTGGAATACTTGAGATCTCATCACCTTCACCTTCACCAAGTGGAGCTCCTTGTCTCAGTTTTGAGATTTCCTTGCTTATAACTTGGCTTCTGAACCTTTGGCTTCCTGACCAGTGAACCTGTCTTTGATCATGACTCTTGAACTGTGATGCAGATAAGTACACTCAGACTTTCCTTCTACCTCCCCTTGCTTTCACTGAGATCTATTAGTCACTGCATTGGTTCCTATAATTCATCTGGCATTAGTGCTGTGACAACTACTGTACATATCATAAAAATAATTATCTGTATGAATCATAACCTCTGCTTTCCTCAGTGATATTGAGCGTTTCAGCAGAATATGATTGACAGGACACCTGTATCAGGTTATTATTACCTCTCCCTCCCCATTAGCTGCGAAATAGTTCATTTCTTCAACATCAACCAATTTCACAATGTTGCACGGGACAGGAACCCCAACATGGCCTGTGCATTCAAATGAATGAGTTTGTTAAGCAGTTGTATCACAGAACTTACAGTACCATACATTTTAAATTATCTTTTTAAAAACAATCACACAAGTTTTCCTTAATGCCTTTAACCCTATTATTGAGTATCTGTTGTACAGTATATTGGTATTCACAAATCACAAACTTTAATTTGTGAGGTAAATGTTAACAATGAAACTAGGAGATAGTTAAATTGGCAAGAGGAAAGCCATTCTGAAAGTCTACTTTTCAAGCATACATACAAAATACATAATTTCAGTTATTGATGCATAAATATTATATCCCATTTCAACAGTGTAATAAAATAGATATGTATTAATGTACTGTAGATGTGTGCAATGGAAATTATTAAGATATTGCTAGCACAGCTACCCGCATCTCATTCTATGAATGAGTCCCAGGTATTATTTTCTACAAAGTATTGTTCACTATATATAAACCTTTTACATAATAAATCAATTTTTATCTCAACAGAGATGGGGTACTGCTTGTAAAAAGTAGCCTGTTTCTGTGTTTGGTGCAAGTGAATTACCTGTTGTCCAGTCACCAGGCATGGAAAAGGTACAACCGGCTGTGCACTCAGTTTGGCCATAAGCCTCAAATATCTGAAAGAGTGAAATATGTTTGTTTGGATTAAACAAACCTTGAAAATTATTCAAGGCACACACATGCCCAGTCCCCATAGCTCAATTATTTTAAAATAATGATAACAAAAAAAAATTAAGAGAGTACATTAGTATTCAACAGACGTTCAGGACGAAGTCATATTATAATCTCGCACTTCCACTTAAATGCATATACAATAAATATTTCACTTTTGAGAAGCCTGTGTGGGCATTTTTCCAGCACCCCTCCCTCCAACCCTTCTGCACACTTGCAGCACCCTCCCTGGTTCATTCTTTGCAAGGGTGCTTGTCAGCCTTAACCTTACAAGTGTGTTAAAGCTAGATATTAAAATATCAAGTACACTATCCTTTTAAATTTGTCATCTTGTCACATTAATTAGAATGTTTCTAAATTCCTGTAATGTTTTTTGTTTAAACCAAATGGTTAATACAACTTTGCTCAACGGTAAATCTCCTGCTATAAAATTCATAAGAAATGCATAGATATACAGTTTGTGTTTTCAATTCAATATTTCCAAATATAGTGGCCCGTGAAGGTTTTATTTACTTTGTTTTGGCACAAAGATTACTTTGGCTGTCTTTCTAAGAGAATAAAACAGAAGCATTTGTACAGTATCTTACCTCAACCTGATCTAACTCTAAATTTCAAGCAATTACAGTAGTTCAACATTGTTCCAAGACCAGTTAGTATAGCTGGTGGGTCTAATCAGACTGCTCTCGAGAGGATGAGGGATAAATTATTCTAGCAAAGGAAAATGTAATAAAAGCCCACAGCTCACAATGTGTTTAATAGGTTGTAAAGCCACCCTTGGCTAGTCTTCTGTAACTAAAGAAGGTACCTTTTCCTCTGTGCTTAGACAGTGATTGGAGGCATTTCATGTTTTAATTCCTGTTCACTTCAAAGGTTTCCCAGCCAAGACTGTGTGGCTATTACATGCTTCTAACACTGTTCTCCTTGAACCACAATTTTAAATTTGAGGTTCAAGTACACAGCTATCCAAAATATCATAGACCTTTTTGGATATTACATGTGTTCATATGTTAAATTAGTCACTTTTCCCAAACGCATGCTGTTAATGTCAGTAATGAGATGCCTGACACTGACTGTCAATGCATATTAAATAGAAATAGAGCTCACCTGGCACCCTAGGCATGCTCTGAGGAAACTAAGCACCGAGGGAGAGATGGGGGCTGCCCCTGTTACCATCACACGTACTCGTCCTCCCATGGTTTCCTTTAAGAAAGAATGATGCTGCTAAGTTAAGAGGATATAAATCCACATAAAACAGTGGATTCTAGACCATTAGCCCAAACAGTATTCGTTTGCCTGCATTGAAACTACTTGAGCTACATTGAAAAATTATACTTGCTTCATATTCTTCTTGTCCTCTTACTTAAAACATTCCACAACAATTAAAGCTTATTTTTTCAACTCATTCCTCTAGAGCAATATTTGTTGTCCATTTTCTCAATACTTTGGACAATTAAAGGCACAAATCTAGAAAGAGGGATTGTAGTCTTAGGAAATCCAATGAATGTAGACTGAATTTTAGATTTTTGTTTTATGTTTGGAAGAGGCATCTTCCTTTTACGTAATAGAAGGCCACTATCACATATTGCAATTGGAACTTGCATTTTGCAATTGGGTAGAATCTTAAATTTAGTTTGGTTATTAATTCTGAGGCAAACTTTGCACAGGATGTAGTAACAATGAATACTTTTTTTATTAACAGTTTGTTTCTAGAAACAAAAGAAAATATTCAAGGTGTCAAGAGAAACTAAATTATCATGCCTAAAATACAGTACATCACACAATTTGTTATCAGGAGGTGTAAATTTAAGGTGTAAAGGTGTAAAGTTAGATTGGTGCCAGACAGTTTATGAATATAACCCTCAATGTGACAGCAAAGATATCTATAAATGTTCGCATTACTCAGTCATGGAGAGTTAACATACTATATTTGAAAAAAAGGAAAATCTTCCCTATTAATCATGTCAGCAGGAAAATATTACTTTCACTTTCTATATGAATAATTACAGCTATCACAGGCTGCCGAATTAGACCTTAACATAAGGTGAGTTTTAGCACAATGAGGCTTATTGATTTCTCTGAGGGATACCTGAACTTTGTGGAAGATAAGCTTGTCCCATATGCTATCATTTCTTATGATTCCCTGCTTCACTTCAGAATGTTTTCTTTCAATTGCAAAGTTCAATAACCACTTCTTGAAAGGCGTCTGGGCTCCACTTTGAACCTGACATGAAAATAAAACAAAACATATTGTCTATGTTAATATCTGGTACACAGTCAAATCTATCAAGAATGTGGACTTTTCATTCAGATTGAATTGAATTCGGCACGGCAGTTTTCAACGTCAGCCTCTTCAGCTGCTTCATACTTCTAGGCATAACTGATCTCTTATTTTTCTTCTCACATAAAGATTGATGTTTACCCCAAGTGATGTTGTGCAGACTATTTTTCTAAAAAATAATCAAAACCTTTAGGACCTGCAATCAAAAGGCTTTAGGAAAGATCCAGAAAGGTCCACAGAACTTCACCCACTTTGCAATTTAAATAATATCCCATACTGGTACCTTGTCATATACTCTGTTCAACAGCCGGGGCACAACTGGAAACACTGTTGGGCGTAGAGCTTTCATATCATCAGGCAATAGCTTGATATCTCCTTGGAAAAAGCCCACCTTGGCTCCACTTGAGTACATTACCGTCTGCAAGACCAGGAATAGAATTCATTACCACATACAGTATACCGTTGTAATCATCCCTGAGAGTGTATCTTAACCAGCGACAACACTTACAGTAGGCAGTGTGCTTTATTGTTCAATGGCAAATGTAGTTGTTTTTTTTTTTTGGGGGGGGGGGGCATAGGTCATATAATCTTTCTCATAAATGTCCTCAATTGCCCTTGGAAAAATAGAAGATTTAACAGACTGCTAGCCGAGACTGTCTGGATTATCTTTATAGCGGAAGTTACTACCTCATTTAAGAGACTTCAAATTCTCAAAGCCTAGATACCAGGCTGTTACCAGGCAAGAGTAGACACTGCCTTAATTGCATGGTTTCGTCAATGCAATCTTACACAAACAGAAAAATAAAAAGTGCATAACATATAGAAGCAATTCATTCTAGCTGGCATTCCCAAAAGCTGTAATTGTGAACATTATAAATGATTGCCAGGCTAAATAAAATATGGATTATAAAATAAGAGGAAAAGCAATAATTTTTTAAAACCCACCCACACAGAACCTACATTTTTTTAGAAAGGCTGTATAAATACACACACAGCAAAGCAAAATCCAATAATTACACTGGCAAGCAAACAACAAGTTCAGCAATCTTTAGTGATATATAAATCAAACAGTTTTTAGCATATTCACAAAATATAATGTATACGTTTATAGTAAAAAATAAATGTCAGACAAGCTGTTAGAGTTTAGGGTAGGATATCTTACGGTACCTGAACTACTCTTTCAAACATATGAGCCAGTGGTAGGAATGAGATTGAGACATCCTGTGGGACAGGGCCAAATGCTGACTGAAAAGAAAGTGCACTGGGATTAAACTCAGATTAATAACAAGCAAACATTCATACCTCAGGAAGGGCCCAGTGTATGATTCTAGTTAAGGTAACAAAGATCTGTGTTTTTACATGAACTTTTCTCTCATGATGTATTACCGTTTAAATAAATGATGAACACCAATGATACAGTGTGAGCATTGTTTTAGGATGTTACTTTTACTTTAGTTTAGGAGTATCTCTGCCGCATGCTCCGTGTAACAGCAAAAGAGACTTGAATTCAAGCATGAAATTCTCATCAACAGAAAACAAAATCCACCAAGGCTTACTGAAGTTTTCTGCTGAAGTCCCAGCAGTCCTTATTTTTTCATTTTATAAATAACTAAATAAGTATATAAAACCCAAACGTTTTCCCACTGATTACCAAACAGTGTAACATTTACAGAATTCATTTTAAACACTGTGCTTTCTATCACATCACATTAGTTTATTAATAGATTGTATCCTTTGTCTCAGTATTAGTGATACAGTTGATTTGATTACAGTAGTCTTTCACAATGTTAAAGTGTTCTGAGAAGCTCACATAAGAAGCAGAAGAAGAAGATGACGATGAATATACCTCAGTGCTTTTTATAAAACCAGCAGCATCTGCTACTACATTCTCATGAGTAAGCATAGCTCCTTTGGGATCACCTAAAGTGAAGAAACATATATAGAATTGGCTTCATGCAGAAACTTCTCTTTTTGCGGCCACAGTACTATAGCACTGGCACAGAAGTATAATATATGAGTATTGGGGGAATAACATAACTTTCCTTGCATAGATTTGCTTTTGATTTAAGTTGAAAGTAATATGGAAGCAGTCATCTTCAGTTTACCATGAATCTGTTGTATTGTGAAAAGACTCAAAGCAAAGAATGTGAATTAAATGAACTGGTAAAATGTCAGACCTGAATGTACTTTGTACAGTATAGACTTTATATTATTTGAATTAAATTGTGAATTTAGGCTAAACTGTTGTAAAATGATGTAAAATCACTGACAGAGAACATACTGTACCTGTTGTTCCACTTGTGAAACACACAATACTGAGGTCTTCTGGCTTAGGAGGCTGCAAGTAAAGAAAGCAAAATGTATTTGATAAAATAATGAGTTAGACAAAATAAAACAAAAATCTATAAACTAAAATCCATTAATATGCAAGTGATAATAATGTTAATAAGCATCTTATATACATTTTATACATATTAATTATAGAGTTAAAAGGGGAATTTAGAGATACAGACAATTGGAAACATAATAAGCTAATTGTATGCAAACATCGCACTTTATGGAAGCAAGAAATCATTGGAAATCATATTATGACTTTTTGATCACCTTAGTTATGCTTAGTTATCACTAAGTAATGCTTGGTTAATAGTTTTTAACTTTATGAATGATCTATTGAAATTGTATAATTAATAAACAGCATATTAACATTTTATTATGTCTCACACTTGTATGCTATTTAGTTTACAACAAAGTTTTAACATACTAAACAAATATTCACAGTACGTACAATTGGTTTCCTCAGGTCATTTTTGCCCATTGTCTGAAAAGCAAGGAACAGCAATTTAAATTTTAATTGATCAAGTTACTAGATTAAGTACAAAAGACACAAATTAAAAAACCTGGCTAATTTAAAGTTGATAATTATGCCGCTATCTGGATTCAAGAATAAAACATGATCCTCTAACTTAGGGGATATAATTAGTGACAGGATTATAAGACTGTTGACAGATTTGCCTGGTCTCATGGGATTTGTTCATGTTTAATAGTCTTGTATTCTTTTTTTCTTCCCAAGGAAATCACATGTATTTTATCTGTTGGCTTGGGCACAATCCCTCACATATGCTGATAGTAGCCTAACAGTAAGTAATAAACTAATGGCCTGTGCAGGTACAAAAAAAGAAAAATCACACTAAGCAAGCATGGAACAGTAAATGTAAAACTTTATTATACAGTGATTCATTTTATGAAATCAATATTTAATCTCTGCTCTTTTGCTGAAATGTGGCACGATACTGCTTCTCTATGGTCAACGAGTCAACCCCCCATTTAACAAATCAACAAATCAACAAATCAATCATATCCTAGTGACTGACCTATAAAACCCCACAGCATTTGTTAGTTGTGAGATAAAGTTCATTTGCTCTTCCTTTCTTTGGTAAAAGCACTGGATTTTTTATGTTTCTGAACAGTTTTAAGTTATTTAACTAATTTTATTTCTTTTGTATAATCTTGTCAAGTAAATTGTTTATTTTAAACCTTAACTTTGCTGACCTCTCCTTCTCATTTCTGATCTCAAATGGGCTTTATCCTGTCTAATCAATATTTAACATTTAAGTAACATTGCAGTAAACAAATCTAAAAAATGTATCCCTGGGCATGTGTGGAAGCAAAACCACAATAGTTTTGCATTCTTCTGTAATTTTTGGAAATTTCTCTCAAAATACACATTGACTAAATCAAAATAATAGAGGTAGAAGAGTTTGAGTTGTGTAATAATCCTTTCAGAGTTCAAATGTCCATGAAGGGGCCGACACATACTGTACAGTACAATTTCTGTTGCAAAACAAAATTTGGACCCTTATACCTCCACTTCCTTGAGAGCAAGTATCTCAACCCCACAGTTCATGCCTCGATCCTTCAGATCTGTGCTGAAAGGGTCCATGAGGACAATGGTGTTAAGCACTGGCGTCAGGCCCTTCTCACAGTTTGTCAGGAGAATTGCAGCCTTGTCAGGTTTGTCGCATATCACAGTGGATATTTCAGCTAAAAGAGAAATAAAAATGTTTTCTAACATAAGACCCTTAATCAGAAAAGGGGAGGCAGTAGGAATGGGGCACTTATGAATGACTCACACAGTTTTGTTTTTGCTGCACAGCGTGGTCAAGGCTTTAATCAAAAACTGCTGAAACATACAGAGACAAACAAACAAAATACTATAACCGTATTTCTTATTAAGAGTTAAGAAACCCGTTTGTATCGCAAAAAATAAATAAAAAGAAAAACCTATCTCCATTATCTCTTATGGGGAAAAATTTGAATCTGTTCGGGCACTAATAAAACCTCTCTCCCACTTTTACTTTTTTCACCCAAAAAGTGACAAAAGAAACCTTCATACTGTTTGTTTTTAGTAATAATAAACACTGCTTAACTAGTTAGACATCATTAATCATACCTAAGCACAGTACTGTACAGTAATCACTTCATTTGCTTTCTGTGTAATTACACACACTCTCACAATTTTCATTTAATGTCTTAGCACGGTTAGGGTCCATGATAAAGTCTAAACAGGAAAAGTAAGAATGCATACAATAGCGAACAACGCACAAAGCAAGGCGAGGTGAACTGTATCACACGCGTCTCTCCTGCCGCTCCGTAGGCTCTGTGCTAGCTCTCACCCACACTGGGTAGTGGACTGTGATACGAACACAATATGAAAGGAGTTGTATGACGCCTTCCTCTTCACTCTCTACATTTGGCAGAGGTTTTGAATCGCATCTTCGTAGTTCCAAATTTGGTTTTCGTTTTTCAAAATGTGTGTAACAATTCATAAAAGTTTGTTTTAGTTTCATAAAAGTACATTAGTAAAAAGAGGTACTGGTGTACCGTACTAATCTTTGCCTTCAACAAATTCTGGCCAATGTTGGGACATTTGCGAAATAATTCCCAGGGGTAACACTAATTTCTGTGGTTCAGTTATTTAAAAGTGTGATAACACTCGCTTGCGTTTTAAAAAATAAAAATAAATCATTACCTCCGATTTCTACTATTGTATTTGTTGGATATTCATTTTTTGTATACATTTATTGTATGAATAAATGCAAACCAGGTCCTTATGTTTTATTTTGGCTTCAAACAAGAAGGATACCTGACAAATGTGTGGTATGCAATCTAAAGCGGAACATGACCACTAAACCTCAGTTAGTTACCTTTATTAACAATGTATACCAGTGCCTCAGGTCCCAGTGTGTCGTAAAGTGGAACAGCCACCATGGAGTAGGTATAACAGGCAAGCTCAGAAATAATCCACTGGAAAAAGAAAAAACAACCCATCACCATCTGCTACAATCTGTTTTTGAGCATCAGCAAGAACAGGTTAATCATGCTCATTGTTCAGTTTGCTTTCATTGAAGATGAATACCATATGGGACTAGTTCCTGATAGCAAGCACCTAATTTTAGCTCCACAGTATTTGTAATTTATAAACTAAATAGTCTGCAATATGTCCTGTCTATTTTTGACATTGGAATCATTAATCATAGGAGACAGTACCTAAATACCTTAAAATTAGAACTTTGACATGCCTTGAAGGGAATTTAATGAGTGAGCCACAAAAACAGTGTTTAAATTCCACATAATATAAATAAATAATGTAATAAGAATGTAAGCATGGTTGCAGTTAATAGGACCCCCTTCACCCAATATAACTAATTTGCCTTTTTACTAGTTAATTGATCTGAGGATCCCATTCAGCTGTTTCTAATGAGAAATACATCATATCCGCTTTAACAACATGGATGGGCAGCTTGTTTCACTCTTTCACAATTCTATGTGTGAATAAGTGTGCTTTTTGTGAAATAATGTCCCACTGGAAAAGAAATTCTCTTTTTTTTTAAAAAAAGTATCCTGAGAAATTCAGACACAGAATTATCAGAAATAGTTGTTACTTATAAGAACAAGCCATAAGGGTTTAGTTTGACTTGCATGTGAAAATAAGGGAGTTTTTCAATAATCTTAAGAAAAAGGGATTCAAAATTCACTAAAAACATTGTATCTTATTCATATAAGCTGTTAATTTTACTATACAACACTTTGACATGTTTTGATGCATCTCCCTTTTAGAACTTCATGCTTACTTTATGCTCACTGTGTTCTAAATGATCACTCATTCCTTTCCTTGGTAATGTACAGTACCTCTGGCCTGTTCTGGGCAAAAATGCCAATGAATTGATCAGGAGATGGTTTCAGTCCTCTGTGCAGTAATCCTGAGCCCAAATATTCAGCTCTGTCAGACACCTTATAAGGGTATAAAACACGTTAGATGCTACTGTCACAAGATTAGTTCAAACTAAGAAAAGACAATCATAATTACCGACAGCTTTCAAATTAGTTACCTGCTTATATTTTAGCCATTGATAAGGCTGCCTTGGCTTTCTATAGCCCAGACACGGTCCATTTCCTGGAAATGAAATAAAAAAAAAAAAATCTTAGAAGAATCTCAAAAGCACAACAGTGAAACCAAAAATTGTAAAGTGAACACTGAAATATAACAAAAGAAAAAAGGGATTTGAATAAAGTATTTTAAAGAATACTTGATATTGAAAGCACCTTCAATATCATATAATGATATAATAAACTTATTTTAAGCAAATCCTTCTACATCCGTACCTGATACATGTAGACCCCTCTGGAAAACTTCATACAATGTCCGGGCATCTTCATAATAGTACGACATAAGTTTATCATCTTTGAGCAAAGCACTTCTCCTTGCCCCATCCTGTTTGTGAAAGAAAGCATTTGATATTCCAAATGTTTCACACATTTGGTGGCTGATGGCTGATCACTATCCTTACGGAGGTTACACGATAATTTTCAATGACAATATGGTTCAAAAGAGTGCAGCATGGCACAGTGGTTAACATTGATGCCCTGCAGTTCTGGGGCCCTGGGTTGAATTACTGGGCATGATCGGCATGGAGTTTTTCCGTTCGCCACATATTTGAGTGGCTTTTCAGATTCCTCCCAGTGTCTAAAAACATATTAGTGGGTTTATTGGCGTAAGGGAAAACTGGACCTGGTGTAAGTGTGTGCATGTTTGTGTCTTTGTGTGCCCGGCAATGGTAAATCCCGTTTGCACTTGCACAGGGGAGCAACACTGTTGCTCACTAAGTGGTCTCTTGAAATGGTTGATACAGAGACCCATACAATCACTTCAATCACCCTCTGCTGAGTCTTGCACTTGGAGCAGGGTCAAGCATGTTATCAACCTTTAGATAAAACATTGTATTCTATAGGTGAAGTCTGTATGTCTGTACTTCGGGTCTAATTTTCTTCCTAGGATCTATTGAGTTTGCCACAAGTGTCACACTCTAAAACAACATAATCCCCTGTACCTATTTTGGCTCCCTGCTTATCTGACACAATCGGAATATTTACCAGGCGACTAAACACATTGTGCCATGTCAACACAATTGTGCATTAGATAACAATTTATTTTTACAAAATATATTACTGCTGCATATCTGTACAGTGGGTGAGATTCCCCCTGTTTGTACATACGGTAAATATTTCTAAAAAAAACACTTAAAGGACTGGCTAGGTGAAATAATTGCCAAGTGTATATCAAAGTCAATTCTACTAATTCAAAGCAATATTGTAATGAGTTTTAGCCTTTTAGCACAATCTTAAGTACTTTAAGAACAATGTTAACACAACATCAAGTACAAAAAAGCGGAAGTAATTTTGTGACTTGTTTATAACTGTGTAATGTTGTGATTTGTGTATAATTCTGGGTATATATACAGTATATAGAATATGAGAGAAAGGTGGAAATACAGTGGGAAAAATGGACAGTGAGCTAATTTTTACATGACTGAGTTCTGTAGGACCACAGATGGTATAGCCATACGGGACCAGTGTGGATCTGATCATGCTCACAGAGGGTTCTCTGTTCAAGTATAAACAATCCAATACTCTTTCTCAGATATGGATAAACATAAAAAAAAACCAAACTGGTGACACTGATTTTAACTCCTTACCGACTCTGGGTTCAACATTTGCCTCTTTTGCAAACAAATATAAAAAAGCCTTTCCACTATGAATGACCTAGTAATTGCAGGACACACCTTACAAGCAGCCAGACAGACTGCCAGCTCTGTAGATATGGAATACTTGAATTGCATTGAATTGCATGTCATTGGCAAATTTTTTGCCCATCAGGGAAAAAATAAAGCACAACTGTAAACGTTTTTCTTTGTTTTCTTTATTTCACTTGCACAAAATGTGAAAAAAGCTTTTACTTCATTTCATATTGTATGGCCATGGTGAATGGGAAATGTAGCCCCTGCAAGAGTGCAGGGAAGATACACATTGAAGCACTGAAATCACCAGTACATGGGGCCACTGCTTTACAGTGTATCTGCATTATAATTTAGTGTTGCTGAAGATAATTTAGATAAAACAACGAAATACACAATGTACACTGCAAAATGTGACTCCCCTTTACTCAAACCTAACTTTGGTTGTGTGTTTCGGGTCTCTTTGTCTCTGTCTCTTTTACTATTGTGTTGTATTTAATACAGGATATTGTTGTGATCTTTATAGGGTCTATTTAACGGTAAAGGTTGTGCTTAGATTATGCTCTTCATAATCTGACAATAGAAGAGACAAATGAGGACATGCTGTATATGTGGCAGTAAACTTTGTATTATAGTAAAGTCACTTTGGAGATTTTTACCATTCCCGTTTAACTTGATTTTAAAGCACGTTTTTGAAGTAAGACTCATCTTTGTGTTTCTTTTCAGAATCTGTGCCAATTTCTTAATAGTTTATGTGAAAAAAAGACCTGAACCACTGCAAAAAAAGGTCACATACAGTAGGATGACTTTAAAAGGTAAAAATATTTAGAGTGATTCCCCCCTTATTGCTGTTTTTACAAACCTCCACTTTTTATAAGCATCGCTTGTAGGTGGGAGGTTTATACAAGTCTTCTGGAGTTGAGGGGTATTTGATCCGTGGCATGGAAAGGGCTACTTAATATCACCACGGAGTTTTCCCTTTTGTATGGGTCTTCAAAACACACTGACTTACCTTGATTCCCACAGTCTGCCTGTTGAGGTCAACTGGAAGCTTGATGGGTTTGGGGCGAGTCACCAGCCAGATTAGTATACCAGCGCCAAAGGTGAAGAGACCAGCGATGGCAGGAGTCGGCAGTGGAGAAAACAAAAACTGAAGAATGCAACTCATCCTGAGGTATAATTCAGATCCTGAGAGGAAGTAAATCTGCAAACAGTAAGTCTCAGACAGTTGTGGTCACCTGCAGATGTACAGAACAGAAAATCCAAGAAAGGCCCATTCCCTTGCTTACTTTGCATCTTTTTATATTGATATTAGAACTGACGTCTCAATACAACATGTGAGTAATTATAAATAACTCATCGATATGGAAATGTCTAAACATCGATCTAAGTGCAAAGGTGCACTTTCATCAGTAGTATATGCTTTTGCAGCAATAAGTGTCTTCTTGTGCCGGAAACCACATAGCCTCAAAGAAGACATCAGATCTTCATAAGAGTGGTATATTGCATAACTAGAACATTTTTTTCTCTGAACTTTGTAATATATTCACATTTTCATCCATTTTGCTTTGCTTAATACTGCATATTAAATGTATAATAGAGGCTATTTATGAACGTTATTAGAGCTTCTGTTTTTACATTTTTGTAATGTTAAGATAGGAAGAGGGTGAAAGTGACAGATATTGTAAACAGTATGTTAGAGATAGAATGCACAATCATATCAAAGTCAAAGTACAACACCTACACACAATGACTCAACAACTGATGAAATCAGAAGACCTTTGCTTGAGTAAAATCACAGTTTGTCTAATTTAGGTGGGAGTGTGCTATGCAGAGTCAACACCTCACATTCACAAATTGATACCGCTGTTGGTTAGGGATTGTACTCTTCTGTTTGCAACAGAAGGCTTTTCTTTACCTCTGACCTTAATTGCCAGTGTACATCACATTTACCTTTCCTAATCTTTAATATGATCATCAAATTAAATGCTGAAACTACTCAAAACTAAATCAGTGACCTGTTGTCCCAAACCAACTCATCGGGTTTCTTATTTAAATCTTAGTTGTGACATTTTCATTGCTGCACAATTTTTAATAGTTATTAATTTTCCAGTATGGCCTGATGAAATAAAGATTCTTGAAATAGGAAATGATAACAATTGGCTGACTGAAACACGTAAAATAATGTCTTTCACGATGATTTCAAAAAGGTGCATGATAAATGATTGTTCCTATCACAGTGGTCTTTCGATTTACGTTTTTATGTGGGACTCTTTCACTAAACAATGCTATAAGAAAGAAAAATAGTATATTATACTATACATTGCTGTCTTGCTGTACTGGGGCCCTGGGATCAATTGTGGACTTGGGGTGTTATCTGTGTGGAGTTTGTATGTTCTCCCTATGTTCAAACGGGTTTCCTCCAGGTGCTCTAGTTTCCTCTCACAGTCTAAAAACATACTGTTGAGTTCATTGCATTCTGGGAAAATTTGCCCTGGTGTGAGTGTATACTTGTCTGTGTGTCTGCCCTGCGATGGACTGGTGTTCTCTCATGGGTGTATCCTGGTTTGTGCCCATTGCTTGCCAGGATAGGCTCTGGCTTGAACCTGAATTGGAAGAAGCAGTTAGAATGGATGGATGGATTTTAGAAGCTCAGTATAGGTAGAGCTATCACCTATCATAATTAGGGGAAATGTTTATTTTCTCTTCATAATATTTTTCTATCACCCTTTTCTCTTAAAGCTTTCATAGTAAAAAAAAATGCGCTATGACAACTTTGCATAACATGAACTTTGAAATCTTCTTCACTCCTCTCATACAATGCAATGCCTGTGACTTGACATATCTGTGCTTCCAAAGTCCCACTACAGTGAAATGTCTGTTATAAAGATCATGACTTGAGGTTGATTAGCTCTTCTGAAAACTACTAGCTTACAGAATGTAGTTGGTTCTTGACATGAATCTCTATTCTTGTAAATAAACCAAGTTCAATACATTCTATTGCTGAGAAATCAGTATAGGTAATTTTTGATAGAGATAATTCTTGTATACATTCCTAATTTGGGGTTTAATGCCCCTCAAGAATATATACATTTTCTTAATTTAGGATGTTATTAGTTTACTTCATATACAGTACACTTGTATGGTCTTGAACCTACCCATACTAAAGTAGCAGGTACCCAGATGTGTGCTGGCATGAAAAGTAGTGCTTGTGTGATACACATGCAGCTGGGCAATATTTATCTTCCTGTTCAGAATCACCTTTGAGATTCCCATAAAAAATAATTAATAGATTTATAATATTATTCAGACCAGTATTTCCCAAGACTGGTCCTGGGAGACTCTAGTTTTATCTAGTTTTTGTTCCAAATGACCAGTTAATCACTTGTGTAAATTGATGCTTTTAATTGATCTGTTTGCCTATTTAAACTTTTGTTTAACTGTCTCTGCACTCAGTCCTTAGTTTAAAAAATATGATATTTTAAGTGTTTCACCCCACTCTCTTCAACGTGCAGAACTTCATGTAATCTCTTCTTAACAGTTCGTTGTCTTACTTCTGTCTACACACCTCTAGCATACACAGGTGGAAATGACACAGGATCAAACACTCCCACATTTTTTTTTTATCTTGTGCAGAGGTTCATTTAGTTACATTTAGCTTTCATGCCTCAAAAGGGTAAGGCTTGAAACTCAGAAATTGGTACAGGATTACTACCAGTTACAACCGTTTGTATTCAACCTTTTAAGATCTGAAACAAATTTTAAAAACATGCCTCAGATAGAGTACAAAACTGAAATTAAATACACTATGATTAAGAACAGGGCTGGACCGAAAACTAAAAGATACAGGGACAAAGACCAGTAGAAATCAAAAAGAAATCAAATAATACACATCTACTCAAATAATAATGAATGTACCTCTAATTCAGTAAAATTAATCTCTCTGTAATGCTGGTACAGTTCTATCACAGACAAGAAACATGTGTTTTGCAGATGGTATTGGTACAACTTATATAGTATTTTTATTTCTTGTTCTCCTTCAATATGGGTAACAAAACCAATGGAAATTAACATATTAGGAGAATTTAAGTTTGCTATTAAGAAAGATTAATTTTACAAAATTATATCTTAGTTTATCTCTAAGTCAGTTCACTGTACAGAATGGTACAGCGGTCAAGTAGTAGCATACTGTATTTCATATAAATCTTTCCCTGTCTGTCTCTTGACTGTGTGTCTCTGTGTGACTAATACGGTATTTACTGTACATCAGCTTTTCAAAGGATTATGCCCATGTTTGAAAATAAAAGCCATTCAAGGTAACACATCTCTCTACCTAGAAAAATCTTTCTAATATTAAAAAAACAAGACAATTACCATACCCTTTTGCTGACAATAATCTTCTCTTGCTGTTTTGCAAGCTGTTAGTTGGCACCCTGAGAACTGGGCAGGCGCATTCCTCTTCCGAGCACTGTTTCCAGACTGCAACTGGAGGAACATGGGAGACAGCATTCATAAAAAGCTGACAATGCCACACAAACTTTGAACCTTGGCTGCAATCATTTCAAAGATAACACCTGAGGTCACTAGAAGCACCGCACAGCATTGCACAAGCATAATGAGCAATTGTTTTGGGGAGTAATTAATATTTACATTGTATAAAATGTAAAACATACATTGCTTTATTAATATTTAACCACTTATAAATGCAGCTGAGGCAAGTACTTCTCATTGCTTCATCCTTAAGCATTGTTACACATGTCAAGGAAAACATATTTCAGCATTTTACTGACACTGTGATTACTCGTTTCATTGTAAAAAAAAAACAGTACAAAGAAATCATTTGTCTACGATGTATGGCTCAGGCCAGAACGTTTCAACTTTCAACTTTTGCCGGAGTAACCTTTTACCTAATAACCTAGTGATCATCACTCCTGGTCCTGGAGGGCCACAGCCCTGCACTGCGTGGATCATAGTGAACCTCATTGACTAAAAACGTGGAACCAGGCATAATCCACATCAATTAAATTGGTTTTGGAATTAGGTTGTTCATTAACAATTCAGGCAGAATGAAAACCAGAAAACCCTGGGGCTCTCTGGGAGCTGGAGGGAGGATCACTGCAAGAAATAATAAAGTAAAAATAAATTTCAAAATATAAAAAATGAACTAACAGATTCTCAGTGCATTCTAGCTACATGTCAAAATAGAAATAAGACATAATAAGGGATGTGTTATAAAGAACATACTATATTGCTGATTCTTTATAATCATACAAAGGAAAAGTGCATGAATTGGTGGATTTGTGAACATGTGGCCAATGGCATGTTTAATTACAGTAGTTATCTTGTTCAGAATCAAGTACTATAATGTTACTGTTGCATAATACTGAATACTGAGATAAAAGATTTCTGAAATAAGCCTCATTAAAAGAAAATCTATCAATGTCAGTAAACTACTAACAACAAAATGTGAGCTAAATGTCCTTCACCAGTTGGTAAATTTTCTCATGTTGTTTCTAAGTTCTTAAATTAAATACTTTTTGCCTATCCAAAGAAATGAAAGAAACAGACATGAGTGTGGTGGAAAAAGTATTTGAAGAAAGGCTTTCCCCTAGTAGATAAATGCCACCTGTGAGGGGAGAGATAATGTCAAATTTGTATCATGTTTAAACCTTTGAAAATCAGACTGGATAGCAGTAACACAATTTGTCATTTGTAGTTTATTGCCACAGTATCAGTACTATGCATATACAGTCCCTTGATTGCTGTATGTATTTCATGGTTTAATGTTTCGATATGATTGAAAGGTCAAGCGCAGTAATAATAAAAGGGTTTTACAGCTCTGAAATTTGTACACAGCAGAACTTGAGAAATACAAAGCTGATGTGTTGTCAGTTACAAAGGCCACTTTTAGACAACACATCTGGGATACCTGGATGTGTTATAGCTGTCAACTTTCCATTCAAAGTTCTAGGTTGCATTTCATAAATTATTTACGATAACCCTTTTAAAAAAAATCAATGTCTTTTAAATAGTCCTTATAATGCATTAATGAGAAAAAACACACCTGTGGACAAGTTATAAAACAAATTGCCAAAAATGACAGGATGGCAAGATTCTTTCCAGGGGGAAATGTCTGGTACTTGTTTTGCAAGTGCTGGATAGAATCTGGCTCAAGAGAAATTATTTTGGCCTTCTTAACGTGCCTACCTGTGTGTATCTGTGTAATAGATTGCACTATACAGTTCTGACATTTACTGAGATTTACGCCCAAGAGACGAGAACGAGCCCATATGAGGACTGCCCTACAACGTGAATCTTCTTGCATGAGTGCATGACTCCTAGCATGCTGAAAAAGTATTGCATGTGATTTGGGAGATGGCTGTCAGTTAAGACTGACAATGCCTTACAAATGAAAGTGGCCTAGCTTTACCTACTTAAAGAGTGGAGCAGCAATAAATCCTGCCAAATAAGGTAAAAAGAGCAGCTACGGTAATGCATGTATGAATAGAAAGCTGTTAGCCCCTAAACCCATGAACCACATGTTGCGAAGGATCTTTCAGGACTCTATGTAGATGACACAATCCGGAAGGGAGTGAACACACACAGGGGGGAGACGAGGAACTGGGCTAGTAGAGGAACCAGGGGGGCGGTACGTGATGAAGGTGCTCCAGGGGGCGTGGTCCAGCCCTTTGGACTCCAAAGGGAGTCCAAAGGGAAGTCCAGTGCATGCAAAGGTCCAGAGCCGGGTAATAAATCCAAGACAAACAAAACAAAGTTAAAAGTCGGAGCAGGATCCGGTGAGGGGTCGTAGACAGACGAGACAAAGTTGAAAACCGGAGAGGGATCCGACGAAGGGTGTGGGGGGGGAAGGGTTAACGGAACCATGCGCACCTGGTCCCGGGCTCGGCTGGTTCAGGACACCTAGGAGGCGAATGCTACCTGAGCCGCGGACATAGGGCGACTCGGTGATAGGCGAGCCTCCGGGCGTCCGTGTTCCAACGCAGAACAGCATGAGCGTCTGGCTTTTAAAGGTGGGCTGGAACAGGGAGCAGGTGCACAAAATCAACTAAAAAGTGAACGAGCCGGAGCGCCCTTAAGGGGGAGGGACTACAATCGTGACACCACAATGCTTCTCCAGTCTCCAAACCCATTGACTACAAAACCAGCTCATCGAATCCAGTGTAGTAGAAATCTGTGAAAAGATCAGGGAGCCAAGGCTTAAATGCCTGTTGTAATTGGGTGCCAGTTGTCTGCTGGACAGGGGTTTCATTTAAGGGACCAAAGAGATGGAAATTACTGGGAATCAGGGCTGTGAGCTGTGCGGCCCAGCACCTCCTACTTGTAACACTGCAAACATCAGAGATGCATATTGCTTATTAACAAACATCAGCTTGTTTCTTTACCACACTGGGATCATTAACCCTTATTAAAAAAAGATCAGAAGGTACAGCAGACATCACAATCTCATAAACACCGTACAGTGTAGCATAGCTCTGCCTGTTTTATCTTCCAAGAACCAAACCCCTTGGTAATTTTCTTTCATTAAAATAAGTCACTTTTCTCAACATTGATGTGTACAGGTAATGTATACAGTGTATACAAATGTGTACAGGTAATAAATTGGATTAGTTTATATTTAACATCAGTTCACAGAAACACAGATTGAGGCTTACAGGATGTAGTATACTGCATTCAATGTAATAATAATAATTCCTTACACTTATATAGCACTTTCTGGACACTCCACTCAAAGTGCTTTACAGGTAATGGGGACTCCCCTCCACCACCAATGTGCAGCCCCACCTGGATGATGCGAAGGCAGCTATAGTCTGCAACAGTATTTTCACCACACACCACCAGTTATGAGTGGGGAGGAGAACAGAGTGATAAACAACCAATTCAAAGATTGGGATTATTATAGATGTGACCAATTAACTATCACCAACCTTACCTTCATTGTTAGTTTTTGAAATAATTAATCTTGTGTATGGCATGTGTGGGCAGGAGACGGCATGTCATGTCATGTTTCGTTGCCTAAGAGGAACGAGGGATAATAGCCAATCAACCCCAACCTTCATGCCTTTGGGAGGTGGGAGGAATTTGGAGCACCTCATGTGAAATAGGGAAATAGGGAGAAGATACACACTCTACATGGAAGGCACCCCAGAGTGGAATAGAACCCATGGACCCAACTCATATGTCATTCTTTCTCCAAGGCAGCTTTTAAAAGAGTTACAAAGTCAAATCTCTTAGTACATATTTTATTATTTTGATATATTTCAGACAATTTCTAAAACATGTGCTGTATATGTATCACCAAAACTTCAAAGATAAAAAAATTGATAGGTGGTGATTAATCAGAAGCTGCAAATTTAGATTACCGATCAACAAATTAAATTGGTCCTGTGTTCATTTCATGCAGTTTAGCAAACCATTTCCCTTGACACAGACCGTGACAATTATACAGCACACTATTGAAGAAGATCTTTAAAAAAAAAACATTTTGGCCTTTTTTCTGGCCTCACTGAAATGTCGATGGTTGTATTAATGAGAAGTAGGAACTTCACAGTACTAAACTACATGCCATACTTGATTTAATCATGAAACCATTATATTTAATTATTATATTTCAATTGCATATTGTATTTTCCAATACAACAATATCGATCCACTGCATGCTGTGCAGTATTACTGTATGTAAGTTCCACCTTTGCTTCCACTCTTGGAATACAAAACACAAGTACAGGAGCTTGCTTTATTGAACACAACCCAAGTGAACTCTGACTGTTGCCCCATCAATTGATGGATATTATCAGATAACGAGCACCTTTGGAGTTTGGTTTCCATAGCTGATAAAACCAAGGTTTACCATACTTTTAAGTAAATGTGTGTGAGAACCAGTGCTTTATTTACTATACTGTAGGTATTCTAAATTTAACCTGAGGAGGCAGGACTGCCGAGTGGTTAATATTTATTTCATATTGTTTCATGATCTCGGAAAAGGAAAAAGCAAAATGGTGTGACCTGCATTTTATCAAGAAGAGTTTCACATGGATTTTAATTTACAGCAACATGGGATTCAGTATACTTTATTATTTTAAAGCATACTTAAATTTGCTTAATTTTTTTTAGTTTAGTGGATGGTTTTCTTGGGTTTCAACATGACTTGACTACAAATAGCTACATTGGACTACCTATATGAATTAATATTGTCCTGTTACCCAAAATAAAAAAAGCTGTTGGGTGAAATTCAGAATATCTTTTTTCATTTCTTTTATTAAGAGTGATCCTGAAGGTTTTATACTGTGTTAGGTGTTGTCTTTGTTGTCTGATAAGGGAATTGCTCTCTGTGTTAGTCAATTTCATTTTTAAAGTGATGTTCTAAAAGGGAAACAGAAATTCTTGCAGGCTCCATTTACTCCTTTGCCTTTATTGCCAGACATTTTCAAAGCCCTTTGGACTTCGCAGTATTCTCTTTTATCTCTAAATAACAATTTGTTGTGACTGCTTTGAAATAGCGACTATGTTAATGAGAAGAGAAGAAGGGCACTTCAGGTAAATATCTAATATAGTTATACTATATACAGTACTGTAGGTATACTCTAGGATCATTTTTTATTTATCCCTTTTTTACCTTTAGGCCCCATCACACTGCCTGCAAAAACTCAAATCTATTGGAAGCTACTTAATACACTTAATTAAATGATTATATTATTTATAATCATGAATTACAGTATGTAGTATATGCATTCACTACCACAAGTATAATCCATACAGTGGCAACAGATGCATTGCACCTGATCACTAACTTTTGAGCCCTAGATGCCCCACACTGTTTCAGTGCATCCCCACAAGTTTTTAATAGAAAAGTGTGAGAAATAGAAGACCCACACCATAGCTTTCATATTCTCATCTTGCAAGAAAGCCATAGCTGCACAAACAGCATAAGAATGTGTGATGTTCTGTTGGAATGTTGTTATATTAGGATGAAGTCACAGGAAAGGCAGTGAGTAAGGTCCTAGGGCTTGAACAATGTACTGTAGCACCCTGTAGTCAGAATATCATCAATCATTACAAGTCTTGATATGTAACAACTAGACGCCCCTGTGCTGACTGTCACCGCTGGACATCTCCCTATCAATGTTGGTAAGGTGTCATGACTTGTGGTCTTCCAGATCATGGCCAACCATCGATAGGCTGTGTCTGGGTGTAAAATCTGCCAGGTTGCTTAATGTGACAGTAAGCAACAGGCTTGACATTCAAAAGCTTAAATCCCCTCATCTGCAACCTCTCAACTTTCACTAATGAGCTGGATTAGTTGTTATGCAACAGTCAAAGTCACTTAAGTGTATTAGGTCTTGAGTGATCAATTAATCCACATATCTCCAAATGTCCAAAATACAGAAGATGTGATAAATTCCTTTTTTATCAGCAATCCTGAAATACATTATCTGAGTGAAACTTATTCCAGCATTGAAAGATCTGTAGATCAAGGAAACCAGAGCAGTCAGAGAAAACCCACATGAACATGGGCAGAAATCACAAAACCCAGTCATAATAGTGACCATGCAGGTTTTATTTATATTTAGGGTCTGCACTGTATGTCACAATGTCTACTCTAAGAAGGGAAGATTTACTAACAAGGTTTTGATTTATGTTGTTATCACTTGCATCACTGACACTTGCATCAGAGAGCACTAGCAAATATTGTGGATTGTAGCATAAACTGCTTGATGTGATAAGGTCTTATTTTGGAATGAACCTGCAGATTGTAGGTTTAGGCCTTGTGCTAAAACATGATATGACTTGTCTTCATAGGACACAGTTCAGGTTAATCTGATCATTTCAGTAGTTGGGAGTTGGGGGTGTTACTAATCAGAACTTTTTCTCTTAATATTTGGAAAGTCTTTCCGTGGTAAACTCCAAATAAGTTTATCAGAATTATAGTAAATAAATATTTCAGTTTATCTGTCATCTAAATTTTAGTACAGATAAAGATAACAAATTGGTTGAAAAGCGTTGTTTTGTATTGCCTTATGCAAGTGCAAATATTTTACAATACTGGTTTTGGAAGACAAGTTATTAGAAATCAACAATTTATAGATTATATTTAAGAGCAAACATAGAATCTAAAACAAACAAAAAATGTATGTGCATTTATGTTTTGAACAAAAATTACATTTCCCCAACTAAGTCAGCAGCTGTGTCACCCTGCAACTCACAACTGCCAACCCACTGAAGCTCAGGTGATATGAGCCTGGCCAGTACCTGGATGGAAGACCCCCTGGGAAAGCTAAGGTTGCAGCAAGAAGAGGTGTTAGGAGGATCAGTAGGGAGCGCTCGCTCTGATGTCTGTGCTAGTCCTAATTTCCCTGTATACTGATGGGGGTCACGATATTTTACAAAAAGACACTTTCCTTCAGAATGTGAAACCAAAGTCCTCACTCTCCTAAATTATTAAAAATCCCATGGGGTTTCTTGATAAGAGTAGGGGTGTTAAAGATGTTGTTCTGGCCAAATTCCCCCTTGACCTTTACCAGTCATGGCCTCCTAATATACCCATCTATGAATTCTGGCGCACTACGGCTACTGTTGCAAAATCCAGGTACTGTAGATGCAGCACATTGGTGGTGGTTGAGGGGAGTCCCATGACCTATAAAGAGTTTTTATATCAGAAAAGTGGTATATGTGTAAGGATTATTATTATACAAAATAACATCACGCATGGTGAGATCATTCAATGATAAATTAAGCTTCAAAAAGGCTCTAGATTTCCATAAATTCACATAATTCTTTTTTACTAAGTCATTTTGCAAGACAAACACCTGGCTCTGCTCTGACCAGCTGAAAAGTGAACATCTTGAATTGACTTTGTTTAAGCAAGCTGATTTTGGTGTAGAGAGCAAATCAGCACAGTAGTGATGCTGGGCTAAAGTCTGTCCTGTTAATTAAAGGTTTCTTTCTGGATGACACCGGAATAGACCCTTGAGAATTAATACGTGTTTCAGTCTCTTATCAACGTATAAAGGCTAATCGTTTCATCACCTGAACTACAAGTGTCTCTCTAGCACTGGAGAAGATCCAATCAGGAAAGATGGAAAGGGTGTTTAATAGGGTGATGCTTTATTGTTCTGGAAATTTTTCTTTCAGCTTTAGAGCATCGTTATCTTTTGTTATTCTTCTTTTAGTATTTTCTAGTGTAAGAAGTAGTGATCAAGAGACCAGATTATTTCTGGGGTTGCAAGCTCCCAGGAATCTCTCTTATCCGTTCAGTGTATTGAGACTGGGATCTGCAATGCAGCTGGCTTTAGACAAGCTAAATTCTAATCCTGCCTTCCTTACAAACTACACTCTGGACTTTGTGTATGCAGACTCAAACTGCGATTCCAAGACTTCACTCAGTTCCTTCATTGACCAAGTGTGGAAGTATAATATCTCAGCACTCTTTGGTCCTCCTTGTGCAGAGGAAGCAGAGGTAAGGAGGTAAAATCTGATACTAAATGTACTGTATAAGCTTGTTTGTAACCATGACATTTTGAATCCTGTGTAAGCCTATGTTGTCTTACATGAGTTTCTCTGTGACACCTTTGACTTCTATAAAAGCAAGCTGATTGCTAGAAAGCAAGCTTTTATATCCTGCTTTTGTTCTGAAGTAGTTTAATGGGTTGCTTTAATTACTGAGCCATGTAATGACATCTTTTCTCTGAAGAAAAATGGGTAAAATGTATGAATAAATGTTTACACATTGTACCATATCCTAAGAATACCTTACTTTATTTTATATATTAGTTAGTGACTCTGAAGAATCTATGCTATCTTGTGAACAGTTATGAAGTCAGAGTTGCCATTAAGGTTAATTCTAAACTAATTCTTCCCTATAGTTTATGAGATTGCAAGTTTTCTATTTAATAAATTGTTTTAACCATCATATTCTCTAGAATGTACTGTAGCTGACAAACCCAAAGACTGCTTGTGTTGAACAACAGCTTCAGAGGTGATTGGTTTTCTTTCAACAGGTAACAGGTCTCATGGCATCTCAATGGAACATCCCAATGTTCAGCTATGCCAGTCAGACGCCCAAACTGGAGAATAATGCTGTATATGATACTTACATTAAACTGGTGTCCCCTCTCCATAAAGCAGGAGAGGTCCTGATTAAGACACTGGAGTACTTTGGCTGGAAATATGTGGCAATGATTGGAGGGGGTTCTTACTCAAGCACTTGGGACAAAATTAATGAGCTATGGATGTCAATGGAAAGGCAGTTGAAATCACAATTCATTGTCACAGCTAGCATAAAGTATGATACCAGCAACCTTGCTCTCACCCACAAGAACATTAAGTACATCTCTACTGTTGCTAGAAGTAAGTACACACTCTTTTTTTCCAACTGATTCAGAATCTTTGGGGTTGTTTTCTTCAAATTAAAATGTTGACTTAGTCTGTTTCTGTGATGGAAGGGCAATGTGTATTTTTGATAAGAAAGGTAATATGCCATGTATCTAACAAAATATTCCTAACAAGTTGCTAAAATATTAGCTATATTTGAAATCTATTTACTAATTTTTGCAACTAGAAAAAAAACTTTAGAAAACATTTTTGTTCTCTGATGTAACGTTATTGGTTCCCAACAGGCTTGATGTCCTTTACGATAATCTGATATCTTTTAAACAAGCTTTTGGATGTAGCAGCTATCAAAGTGTATAAATAACCCATTTATCTACGCAGAAAGAGAAAAGCCATTTTTAAAAATAATATTGAAATTTTTGTTTTATAAAAGGTGCAACATTTTGAAGATGTCGGTTTCCACATCTTCATGGTCAGATACTGCTCTGCTTGTTTTTTATTGAAGCAATTGAAAAATTATTTGTTATCTTCATGTACAGTACTATGTGCCTTTAGTATTTTTATAAGAATGTTGTTGAAATTGAAAGTCAGCCCAGGTTTGGTTATGTACAGTATATTAACCCAACTGTGCAAGTGTCTCAAAAATACTTGTAGCTTTGGGGAATGTTCATGGTTACTCTCATTGCAACAATGGTTTGGGAAGACCAACTTCAAGGGCTCAGATAAGTTCCACACTGGGTGGTTAGGATGTATTTTATCCATCCATATATTTTCTAGTATCTTCTTCTGATTCAGGGGCATTAGGGAACCAGAGCTTATCCTGACAAGCTGTCAAGAAGTCTTAATTTAGCAAATCAGTGTAGTTTGACAGGAATGTCCTGAAAGTTTGGAAATGTTTTTAATTCTCTGCTGATAGTGTATTACAGATGGTGGTATTTCATTCAATAGGTGTAAATTCAAACATGATACTTTAACTTTCAAGCAGTTGTTTTCAATATGGCAGATAGCCTTACCGCACCACCAGAACTGTCTAGATTATGTTCACACTGGAATATCTGGAAGAGTTTGGTCTACAACTGGCACAATTCAGTATGTTTAATGTTATGTGTAAAATACAAGCTTAAATTAATAAACCATACGGTACCAAGGCTAGGTGAACAGTGAGCCTTTGGAGCAGAACAAAATTTATTCTCATAAGAAAGGAGAGATGGACTAAAGGAGCAGCCATTGGGTCACATTCCTGTGAACCTGCTCCCTGAAAAGCATGAATGGCAGCAAACTCATTTATTGTTCAAAATGCCTTGCATTTCACTCACTGTGAATAGGACCTAAATTAAAACTTTAAAAATCACCCCATCGATCCACCATACAGAATATACTGTATGTAAAATGCACTGGCTTGATTTAAAATGAACAGACATGTATTATGCAAAGGAACAAGTAATAGGTTTATTCCATGCTGAAAAAAAGAAGAAAGAGAACACAACGTTTCGGCCGTGGAGCCTTCTTCAGGTGTGAGAGAGACAGGGCAGTAGGCAAAGGTAAAGTAGCGGGAGAACAAAGGTTGGGAGGGAGGAGGAGTGAGAGGCGGGAGCAGGGGACAGAAAGAGGCCAATCAAGAGGTGTGAAGTCAGAATGGGTGCAGAGAGGTGTGAAATGAAACTTCCAATGAATGGAGAAAATTTAAAAGAACAGTAATCTGTCGTTAAGGGAAGGGAGAATGTGTGATCCTAACTGCAGAATAATTTTAGTTTCGGTGGACTTTCTGATGTATGAGTTCGGAAAACCATCTTTGAGAACACAGATGGAGAGATTAGTGTGGTCGTGGCCGTCAGAGGTGAAATGAGAAACAATGGGCTTGGAGAGATCTTTAATCTTCACAGCCCTGACGTGTTCTCTGAAGCGGTCTCCGAGTCTCCTTCCTGTTTCTCCAATGTAGATGGCTGGGCATTTACTGCAAGAGATACAGTAAATAAGGTTGCTGGAGGTACAAGATGCTGTCTGGGTGATCCGGAATTGTCCTGAGGGGCCTTGAATGAGTGTGGTGGTGGCTGTGTACTTGCAGGTGATACAGCGAGCTCTGCATGGAATAAACCTATTAATTGTTCCTTTGCAGCCTACGCATGCTGACGCAGCTACCCACCTAGACATGTATTATGGCAATTATATGTCACATTTACCGTATTCGGTGCAGGAATAAAAGTACTATTATTAAAGCGGGTGTGAGTCTGGTCAACACCTGAACTGGAGACCTCCTAGGAAGCTATGATTGCTGTTGGAAGATGTGTTAGTGGGGTCAGCAGGGAGGCGCTCACCCTGGAGTCTATTTGGGTGCTAATGCCCCAGTATAGTGACGAGGACAGTATACTGTAAAAGAGGTCCTGACTCTCTGTAGTCATTAAAAATCTAGGTGTGTTGAAAAATCCTAGGTGTCCTGACCATAATTTCCTCCTGGCCCTTATCAGTCATGACCTCCTAATAATCCCCATCTAGGAATTGGCTTCATCACTCTGTTCTCCTCCCCACTGACAGCTGTTGTGTTGGGTGTTCTGGTGCACTATGGCTGCTATCACACAGATCGTCCTGCACATTTGTGGTGATGGAGGGGAGTCCCCATTACCTGTAAAGCACTTTGAGTGGATTGTCCAGAATAGTGCTGTATAAATGTAAGGATTTATTATAAGCGAACAAAAGCTTTCTGCTTCCAGTTCCATTTTGAATTTTGGGACACTAGTGTTAGCGGTAATATAGCAATATTTAAAAATGCTGGTTCTTAAAGCACTTCGCTCTTTAAAAGTCATTCATGCTTTTTTAAAACTTCTGCAAACCTGATATTACTTAAAAAATAATTAGATAGAGATGTAGATTTCCACTGAAGGAGTTTATAACAGAAGTTCTGGAGGGAGGTAAGATCTTAATTCATTCTGCACACAAGTCTCACACCCAGGTCTTCCTTTCTTGTATCTCTGTTGCATCTCTCCTGCTGCTCCATCTACGTCCTTGCAGCTCTCTAGCTCACTTCTTTCAATAGTGGTGGTGGGGGTTGGCCAGCCTCAGCCTCACATCTGACTACCATTTCCTCAGCTAGATGAGTCAAATACTCTGATAATCCCCTAATTGCAATCAATAGAATCTATCCAAGATACTGAATTCGTGTTTAGGATCAGCCATGATTGAGTTTGATTTTTAACAAGTAGTTGAGTTTAAAAACACTCCAAAAGGTATTGAACAAGTTGAATGGTTAGTTAAGGTGTAGAGTCAAGATATTTTCCAAACAGAGGCCAGTTTTGCTCACTTTAGCTATTTCCTCTTACCCCTAATTATACATTCCTGGATCAGTTAGTCTGAGAGAGAATGGGTTAAGAGACAATCGTATTTCAAAAACACAATGTGAAAAATCTTAATAATAGTTTTATTTGTAAATCATCATGCAGACGGCATAAACACTGTATAGGCAGGGTCCAGGTGTTATCTATTTAACGCAACAGAAAAAATCTTCAACACACTCACCAATCTTCAGGTTGACCGTTGAAATGAAAAAGGAGGGAAAACTATAAATGTCTGCTATGGTTTTCTAACTTCTTATACCTTTTTTTTGCAGTTATCATTGTAATTTGTAATTCTGAAGATGTGACCTCATTAATGCTGGAAGCTGAAAAGCAGGAGTTAGTGAACGGACAGTATGTGTTTTTCATTATCCAGCAGTTTGAGGTCAGTGGCTATGTGGTGAGTATATTCTAGAAAAATGAGATGCGGGGAACTTATTAAAATACCTCAGAACTTTGTGCCACAGTATATAGTTGAGCTATAGACATGTACTGTACATAAGTTTTTCTGTCTTTGTGGGAACATCCCACTGACTCCCATTCTGTTCACTACTGTCTAATTCAATTCAAGCTTTATTGTCCCATAGGGGAAATTTGTTTTACGGCACAGTCAAACACAACACAATGCCAAATAAACATCACCAAAAGGGAAGAGAATACAGTAGTGTTACAGGAGAAAAAAAAAGGGACAAGGTAGTTACTTTCAATTGTTTAAGAGTGTAATTACACTGGGAATTAAAATTTCCTGAAATGAAATGAACCCCACATGAGGTGAAAGACCTCAAAACAGTTCTGTTAGTGTTAGATTTAAAAGAATGTGTCATGCCCTCTACTGCTAGAGGGCGCTCCTACTCTGTCCTGCTCATAGTTTCCCTGTGCTTTGCTTATTCTTCCGGTGTGTTTTGTGGGGCTATACATTTCCGGGTTACCCTTTCCTCCTCGCTCACCATTGAGGGTTCGGATGTCTTGAGACCCGCCTAGCTCCTCCGGGGCATAGGTTTCTACCCGACATAGTCTGACCTCCTGAGCCCGGACTAATCCCCGTTTTGCCGCTACACATAGGATCTTTTTTGCTCTCCTGGCCATTCCACGGCATGCCTTTACGACATCCGTGACCGAAGGTTTCTATTGTAGAGACATCCCCACATTGTCTGTCAGGAGTTCCTATCTTCCTAGAGACATTTTGACACCAACATTTAGTAGAGAAGTTCTCCACTCAGAATATTTAAAAAATATTGGATCACACTTTGTTTTGAAACTTTTACAAACTTGCTATTAGTAATATTTTTCTCTCAGTATATTCAGACTTAGATTAGAGACATAGATTTTCAATAATGGAGTTTATAACAGAAGTTCAAGAGGAATGTTAGATCCAAATCTTGCACCCTTTCTCTCTCCGGTGTATATAAGACTCACACCCAGGTCTTCCCTTTGTTACAATAGTAACATTTGTTTATACAAAGGGCTATAGTTGTCAGTTATAAGATTTCTGAAGATGTTTCAGGCAAAAGCCTTATGATATCCATGAAGCACTGCTAGTTACCAAATAAGCAAGATGTGCTTAACATGCTTCTCCCATTCATTTCCATTTTTAAATTTAAAACTAATATTCGTTTTTTGAATTTTTCACGTCTGGGATTATTATCCTTCCAACAAGATGGAACTTCATGAGTGCAAAAAATAACCCGTTACTCAGTGAACATTTATTTCTTCCAGTCAGAATGATGGCCAAAGCCAATTTTAATGCTATTTTGTGAATTATTTAATCTTATTACATAGGCATTTGAAGTAAAATAAACAGAAAAAAACAACATTTAAGACCATGGCTAATTTCTGAAGTACTCAAAGAAATACAGAAAATTGATTTTGAAGACTTCAAGAGTGCTTATGCAGTTGCTCTTGTTTAATCACTAATTATATCTCAAAAGTAATTATTAAAAATAATGCTTAATTAGCTATCACAAGTTATCTACTAATTACATGCGGCTCTGTTGTTCTAAATTAAGGCCAGGTGCAACATGAGAAATTGCACTGGTTACTTTTATTGGATTATATTATTTCTTTTAACAATGCAGAGACAGATTCTCACCCACTGGTGTTTTAAAAGGCATAGAACTCACTTAACCAAAGTATGCTCTCTAGTGGTCACTGTACAATTCAAGTGTTACATGTTTTATATTTACCTGGGTTTTTAATTACTTTTTTGCTGCTTTATAAAGCACAAAATCAACTCATCACTTACATACCAGTACTAATGAGTCCAAATCAAAGGATTACATACAGTATGCAAATGTTCTTGAGATTAGACTAATGATTGAAAGCAAAAGGGGCAAAAGACATTGAAAGCTTTCTAGTTCACAAGATTCTGGCTAAGAAATCAAAACCACGGCTTTTGGGAAAGTTAGGATCAAACGTATTTTGCAGCATTGTAACTTTTGTTCACTAGTGTATGTAAATGTAGTGGAAATGTAATTAACAAATATGAAATTTAAACTTTTGGGTATTGCAAAAGAAAAACTTTGAGAAGGAAATGAGATAACAAAGCCTGTCCACTTGCACATTCTTGATATGTTATCCATTTAAAAAATGGAGAATTGCTTTAGATTTAAAGCATTAAGAAATTTATTTACAGCCATCTTACAGTACGTATAGTATGTAGTACTTCAACTGCAAAAACCCTTGCTTTCATACAGTATACAGTAAATTGAATTACTGTTATTTATTTCTCTCACAACTAGATCCAGAAATTGATTTAGTAAAAACATGAAGTCTTTATTTTCTTTGCTAGGATTACCTATGGAAACATGCTTCAGAACAAGGGACTAGACAAGATATTTTGAAAGCCTTTGACATGGCATTTGTGATTGCTCTGAAATCCTACAACGGATATGACTACTATGATTTCCTTGAAAAAGTTTATCTGAGACTGAAAGGGTCTCCATTCTACAGCAACCTAACTTCAGAGAAAGAGGTATGTCCCTCATAATTAATCAAATGAGGAAAGCAAAATATAATTATTTTAATTTGTCCTATGAAAAGCTGAAACACTGAAAGAATAAAATTGGCTGATTGTTTAATAATTATTCCACTTGACTGAAGAAACCCAAATAAAATCAAGTGTGTAATAAGTCATACAATAACAAAAACATAATAAAGTTTTCAGATTCGTTGTTACATTTGAGACATTTAAATTCTTCTGCAATAATGCTGCACGTTTATTTCTGTTTTCTATTTCTCTATATAGGAATATAGGAAGACCCATATTAAACAAGCATAGTTCTCTCACTTTATATAGTATCTCTGAATGGCTTTCATTTTACCTCCACAATTCATCATTGTTTTCACAATAATATTTCCATTAATTAAAAATGTTACATAGTAATATATCATTTTAGTTAATAGGAATTTACTGGATGAAACATGAAATTTAGAATTACATATGCAACATGGATATACAAATGTATGTGAAATGTCATCACTTTTTCAATTATAAGTAAAACTTAAACTAAATTATAAAACTTAAAAAATCATAGAGAAAATTTAATACAAACCTATAACAAAAGGTTTAAGCACCTTCATTTTATCAGTGTTTGCATTATATTAAGAAATATTCCGATGTTATGTTACAGCTTGATACTGTTGATACTGTAAGAGGCAAGGAGTCTATCCACTAAGAAGAATTTAGTAAGAAAATAGTGTCATAATATTTTTTGATCACACCCCATTTCATCATGCATGTCGCCAAGAGCACTGAAGCAACATCTGGTTTTCATTTTCGTCATAATTTCCATTTAATAGCACATGGCCAAAGCACATGCAGACATGTGATCGTAATTTTAAAAGCATTTCATCATTCATTCCAGGTACCAAAGTCTCACACGAGGTCCTATACTCTTTGGGAAACAAAACACGTAAGACCTGAAGGACATGTGAGATCCAAAAAGTGGCTGCAAATCCAAGATACTGTACAAATAAACCAGATGCTGTTGACACCCTATACTGTAACTGTAACAGTCCTGCTCTACTACATTCTGATGTTCAGTGTCCCACACACCAGACACGGGCTGAAATCCAATGATGCTCTGTTGTTTAATTGCTATTGTTTGTCTTCCAGGTCAGCTCCTATGCAGCCTTTCTCCATGATGCGGTTCTGCTTTATGGGATGGGACTTAAGGAGATGGTTAAAGCAGGCAAGGATCCACGCAATGGCAGGGAGCTGGTTCAGCTCTTGAGAGACCAGAGCAATATCATGTTCTATGGTAATTTCTTGATCTCAGCCTCAGATCTATGGATGCATGGTTTTTACAATACCTCTTACAGTGAGCCTTCCATATTGTCTGTTTTGGAGCTATTGAATTTTCACCTTTTTTAACAACTGAATGACACCAAAACTTTACATTACACATGTCTATAGGACTTTATACGGTACTTTAAGATTGCACAGTTCCGTCTGGTTGGTTACAGTTCCATTGTTTTGCCACTAGAGGGAGCCTCAAGCACTAGTTGTTGGCGAAGCCGACAGTGTTAGCCAATCACGAATCGACTAGTGGACTGTACCTAGGGCTCCACGCCTCCTCTCCTCAGCCTTACTTAAACTGTGCTTTATTTTTTTTTCTATTTTAAGTATTGTTTACTTCTACTCTGAAATCAGGACCTTTACCTGTTTTTTCCCTGCCTCTAGTATTCTGCTCCTTACCTTGCTTCCTTGTCCTGCTCAGTTCAGTCCTTGTTCTTTTTTTCACATTTTACCTCCTGGTTTCTTTTTTTCTGTCTCCTGCTCCAGGAGTTTTGTGTCTCCAAGGACTGCCTACCTGGTTCTTGATTTCAGTCTGTTTCTAGATTTCCGTTGCAGACAGCGAAATATATACATTCTTTTAGACTTCCCTATCAGCTGGAACCTGCACAGGGTCCACTCCTTTGTTTTTTTGCAACTGTCTAGGCAACCTTAATAATGTACTCTTATCGACTTTTTTGTTTCCCTTGGTTCCAGTTCTGTTTGCTCTATGGTACTCTTTTCTCATGATATAGTTATTTGAATAATTCAAGCTTAGAAGCACTCAATACAAATATAACAAAAGGTTTGCACTTTTCAGTACAAAAGTCAAATACAGTATTTTGAAAGGTATACCTGGGAAGATGACATTAAAACCTCCAGAAATATCCTGAAATGGGTATGCAATTCTTGTATAACAATAGGGAATAAGGATTTTAAAAACTGATTAATAAAGGTATGAGAAAATATAAAAAACTGATTAGAGTGTAACTGTGGTTTTAGAAGCATAAAGCAATTTCTTTGTAACATTTTGGTAATTCTTTTAGGTGCAACAGGGCTTGTGAAACTAGATGCATCTGGAGGAAGAAATATGGATTATGCTGTGTATGATCTGCAATTGTCTAAGAACATGACCAAGTTTGTACCTGTTTTACAGTATGACAGCTTCAAAAGTACTGTCAGGTAATTATCATTTGTAAAAGTGTTTTTCCACAGAAACTCTATCAGCAGACCTGTACTGTACTTTTGTATAAGAAACAAATCACCACATTTGCTCATTAAATGTGGTGATTATGCAATTATATCGGTACTTGAATGTCAAACTGTGTATCATCACTATGTAGCCACTAAATACATCTGTATAACAACAGTGTTAAATCATCTCTTGTCCCTGTAATTCATGTGTAATTATTCAGTATTTCCCATTTTAGCCCCACTCCTGAATTTTCCTACATTTCCTGGCCTAGTGGCAGACCATCAGCAGATAAACCAGACTGTGGATTTGACAATGAGCTGTGTGGACTGCTAATTAATGGTAATGTTTCATTACAATACAAAAATATGTCACTTTTGTAATGAAAGTTTTATTTTTTGTTTCACAAATGGACAATCAACCAACCTCAGCGCATTGAATGTTTCTCTTGCAGATTTATCGGTTTTAATCTTGGTGGTGATTCTGCTTGTCACAGCTTTTTTCGGGGCATCATTTATTACTTTGCTGATGGTGCAAAAATACAGACTCAAAACTAGATTAGGTGATGCCTGGTGGCATATAAACTATAATGACATCACCATTGTAAAAGATCCAAAGGTAAGTCTTTTTTCAGTTCTCCCTCAAAAATCGGTTGATCTTTCCCCCATTGTTTACATGTACAGTACATTGTAGCATTCATAGGAAAATATAAAAAAGTGTCCTATTTCAAACTGAGCTTGCCCTTTTCAATCTCTCCAGTTTATAGAAAAGACAAAAACTACTACTGTGTTTTCATAATTTTACTCCTGCTTTCAGTGTTATTTTTTTGCCAACAAATGAAAAAAAATGTTTTTCTTTGGTTAAAGTAATAAAAATAAATGAATAAAACAAATGAGAAAAACACAAAAGAGTCTAGTCTAGGCAAATTAATGACTTATTTTAAAATTGGAAATATTACATCATTAGCACTTGAAATGGCCGCCCTTTTTATGTACCACTGCTAAAGAAAAAAGGGTTCATTTTTAGTATAAAGTAAATATAAAACTGAGCTCAACAAAAATCAATAAGTTTTCTTATGTTTTCATTAAGAAACAGCATTGACTAAAAGGAGGTACCTGTAGTTACAAAAATAACCGAATACATTGAGACCTCCATAGATTTCTCCACCAACATATTAAGTGATTACATGCTCCATAGGGGGCAGCACAGTGGTGAAGTGATTAGCACTGCTGCCTCATGGTGCTGGGGCCCTAAGTTCAATTCCAGACCTGGGATGTTATCTACAGGGAGTTTGTATGTCCTCCCCATGTTTACTGTACGTGGGTTTCTTCCAGGTGTTCCGGTTTCCTCCCAAAGTCCAAGAACATACTAAGTCAATTGGCTTCTGGGAAAATTGGCCCTCGTGTGAGTGTGTGGATGTATTTGTGTCTGTGTCTGAGTTTCTGCCTTGTGAATGACTGGCATCCTTTCTGGGTTGTACCCAGCCTTGCGGCTGTTGCTTGCTGTTTCCAGACAGTGGTTATTAAAATAAATGAAAAATAAAAGATAAGTACAAACAGCAAGCAGTTTAGGTGGCAAAAAAACATTGAAATAAAGGGAGAGATGGCAGGTTCAAGACCATGTAAGAGGACCACTGAAGGGTCACAAATAACCTCCACAGATGACTGTAAATGTCAATTGAATTTGACACAGTAACATGTTACAGCTGTAATTGATGCTGGTGGTGGATTGACCTGATATTAGGGTTAGTTTTTTTGGAAGGCAGTATATAATATTGATATACATCCTTAACGTTTCTGAAAATATAACAGCAAAATTAAAAGACGAGGATTTTTTTTTTACATTTGTTTTTGCTAATTATTGTTAACTCTGCTTCATTGTATCTCACTCTTAGGGAAACCACAATTTGTCTGTAGCTACAACACCTACAATGAAGGAAAATGGAAGTTGTGGGACCCAGACTTTGATTTCTAGCAGCAATAGTTTTGGCTTGAGAGATAAAATGGGGAAAGAAGTTGTTTATGCTACAATCGGCATATACAAAGTAAGTGCATTACTTTGTGTGATATCATGGCAATTTTTCTCTCAGTGCTCACACTTTACACTTTACACTTTACCCTCTGGTTTTCTTTGTTGTGGATGGGGTTGTTTACATACATGGGAACTTGCTGCTCGTTTCTTCACTAGATAATAACAAACAAAGTTTTATGGATGCTCAGGTAGGAGGCCAAAAGTGAAGAGGTTTGAACATCAGGTACCTTTGGACTTGTACTGTATCTGAGAATACACCTGTGGTCTGGTTCCTACATTTTTCAACTTAAGAAATGGAGTTTATTTAACTAAAATTCGAGAGGGATGACAACAACCACGCTCAATCATTCCCAGCCGTCAGTGATTAGCAATCACTCCCTTCGTCCTTCCTCCACCGAACACTATAAACACTAAATGCAATATCTCTCTCCCTCGCATGCGACTTTTGCATCTCACCTCCACCCCAACTCCACCTCTGCAGCTGCCCCTTGGTTACCTTGCGTTGGGGTCCTGGCCTCCTCGTCCTACAGTATGGCCAGGAGGTCGGCCCTCAGCCAAGCGGGTTAAGCCAAATATTTGCTCCACAATAGTTCATTACGTTTTGATTTTGGGCTTTGTCATTCCCCATGAAACAAAGTAATTTAATTATATCAAATAAAGTTTCCTTAAGCTACTTAAAAAAAATCAGATATTCACCAGCCCTGCTTTAAAAGGAAAAGGTTTCAAAAAGAAACAAACAATCACAGTCTCAATTCTTACTGAAAGAGCACATTCTCACGGTGTGGAAGACACATGAAAACTTTTACTTTTAGGTCCCCACAGTAATTGGCATGGTAAGACCTTTCCAGATATCTGTTATAACATTTGGAAGCTCAGATTCACTCTGAATAGAATACAAAATTCCTGAAATAGGTTCTCACATGACTTACAAGACAAGACCAAGACATACTAAAACTTAATAAACCATTTTCTTTCAACGGGTATCATAGTGACTTATTCAGGCAATTAATTAAGGTCCCTCTATTCATCTTTACTCTTGTTTTCAAAAATAACACTTTCTTCCTGAGTGGGATGAAAGTTAAGTTGTCAAATCCATGTGATTTCCAATTACCTTTGTGGTTCAAATATGTGGAATGTTCTAATTGTTTAATGTTGATGATGCATGGGCAGAAAAGTAAAGGAGGAATTGTGAAACAATGCTTTGAAACTGACCGTACCATAAATGGATATAAAACAACTATGTGAAACAACTATTTCAACAGCTTCATAATTCCAGTGGTTTGCTCCTGTGAGTGATGGGGAGAGTGTAAGTTTGCTGTGCTTTTTTGATATTAAAGTCTGAAGCAAAATGTTTTCATTTTTATTTTCTCTCAGGGTAATGAGGTTGCAATCAAATACATTGAGAGGCAAATTCTTAGTGATATGAGAAAACCATCAATTATTGAAGAATTTCAAGTGGTAAATATTGCCTTCTTATTTATTACCTTACCTTATTTTTATCAGTTTAAGAAAATAAAGGATCTAACAGAAACCTACAAAAGAAGGATAGCACATGTGAATCTTGTAGGGTATGCTCTGTTTCTAGATATAAGGTACAGGTTTAGAAGAAGTTTCGACATACAGTAAACAACTACTTTTTACTAAATTGCTTTCATATGTAGTGTCTTCTAGCTCAACATTTCATATTTTACATATATAGTTTACAATTTTTTTTCCTACATGCATACAATACCTTGCATGCTGGAAGAGGTGTTAGTGGAGCCAGCAGGGGAAGCTCAGCTAATGCCCCAGTATAGTGATGTGGAAACTATACTGTAAACAGGCGCCGTCCTTCGGATGAGACATAAAACCGAGGTCCTGACTCTCTGTGGTCATTAAAAATCCCAGGGCATTTCTCGAAAAGAGTAAGGATGTAATCCTGGTGTCCTGGCCAAATATCCCATTGGCTCTTGCCAATCATGGCCTCCTAATAATCCCCATCTATGAATTGGCTTCATTTCTCTACTCTCCTCCCCACCAATAGCTGATGTGTGGTGAGTGTTCTGGCGCACTATGGCTGCTGTCGCATCATCCAGGTGGATGCTGCACATTGGTGGTGGTGGAGGGGATTCCCCATTACCTGTAAAGTGCTTTGAGTGGAGTGTCCAGAAAGGTGCTATATAAGTGTAAGCAATTATTATTAATTATTATTTGTCTACTGTACATTATATGTCATCTGACTTGTGTCTGCCCAGTTTTGAATTTTATCTATTTTCAGTTACTTCTGCAATGTGAGATAATCCTCCTTATCTGGTATCATCTGCAAACATGACCAGTTTACTTATTATTCTGCTATCTAGACTGATAAATTGTATATTAAGAACGGTGGCATCGTGCAGATCCCTCCAGTACTAACTGTTGGGATCCCTACAGTACAGTACTCTACTAATTACAACACCCAATTTTAACATTCACTCCTTATATGTACCCTCTATTTTGTATTCAATAACCACTTCTCAATCTAAACAAATATGCTTTCCTGAATGCTTACTCTCTGCATTTTGAGAATTAATCATTTATGAGGAACTTTATCCAGTCACCTGATAATCGAAATACACACATCACATGCCCTACATTATGTGTATTCATTACTGTTGTTGCTTGTTCAAAGAATTCTAGTAAGCTGAATATGAATATGGCCTACCTTTTAAAAATGTATTAGTATGAGTGACTTCACATCCATGTTTCATGTTATATTTCTATCTTCAACTACAGATGCGTGAACTGAAGCATGAAAATTTGGTACAATTTTTTGGGGTTTGCATAGAACCACCACATGTCTGTATCATAACGCAGTACTGCAGAAAGGGAAGCATAAAGGTACAATATTCCTTTTTCTTTGTGGGAGATGTTGCAAATGACCCAGATTCCGCAGTTTCAGTTTTGCTTAACTTAATAATATGTTGCCAGGATGTTCTGAGGAACTCGGATATTGAACTGGACTGGATGTTCAAACTGTCTTTCGCTTATGACATTGTTAATGTGAGTATGAGCTACTCAATGTTGCATCTGGTGTAACTACAGTAAGTTCTTTAATCTACCATGTTTAAGACATTTCATGGGGAGACAAAGCTCCTTCAAGTCCCACTTCCCAGGGCTAACTATTTTACAGCAAAATGTCAGTCAGCTTAAAAGGGAGTTTAGATAAGAGGACTTTTAAACACTTGAACTTCTTTTGAATCCCTGTGTTTATTCACTTTGATACTCTCTCATAGGCAAGATGTACTTTTACAAAAATCCAATAATAATGTTTCAAAAATATTTTACTTATTCTTAATGTACTTGAACTACACACATTGTTTCCTCCCTGCTTTTCTTATAAAACCAAATTAAAACAAATTATGTTGTGGAACACCGGAGTATATAAAAGCTTTTTTAATTTAATACATTCTATAGTTAAATTCCCTCATCAACGATATGAAAACAAAGGACATTGTTTTCACAGAAAAAGCTATATACTGTACAACTATTGGTTTTTGTGATAACAGCAGGGGTATGATTTATCACTTAACAATTCCTGTATAATACTTTACTTAAACCAGTTTCTTGGAGGCTAATTGTTTCTGTGAAGTGACTGAGACCTTGAAAAAAAAAAACAGGATGAAGTTATAAGCCTTTGGGATCATGGATGGAGAATCCTCTGCTTGCATGGTGCAAAATATGCTGCCCCATGTATAAAACATTACTGTTGTGATTCTAGTGAGTGCTAACTTCACAGAAGGTGAACGATGTGTATAACATATTGTACAGCTATCCAGTTTCGAACTGCTTCTTCCAATTCAGGGTCTTGGGGGAGCCAGAGCCTGTCCTGGCAGGCAATGGCAGGCTACAATGAGGGGGCCACAAGGGGGTACACCCTGGACAAGACGCCAGTCCATCTTAAGGCAGACACACACACTCATCCCAGGGCCCCCTTTTCAAGAAGCCAATTACAGTAACTTACAGTACCAGTCTGTCTTTGGACTGTGAGAGGAAACCGGAGCACCCGGAGGAAACCCACGTGCACACAGGGAGGACATTCATACTCCACGCAGTGAGCAACCCAGGTCCGGAATTGAACCCAGGGTCCTAGAACTGCGAGACCGCAATGCTTACACTGCATCACGGCACCACCTAGATCTTGTACATGCAGTGTGAAATCAAAATCTTGTGCGGATTGAAAGTGGTTGTTTCAGCTTTTGTTTGTAATATGTTCACTAGGGCATGGTGTTTATTCACAATAGTAATCTCCGATCCCATGGAAATCTGAAGCCAACTACATGTCTAGTGGACAGTCGCATGCAGGTTAAGCTTTCTGGATTTGGCCTGTGGGAGTTCCGTCATGGGACCAAGCATAGGGTGATCCCTTTGGAAAATCCAAAATATGAAGGTGGGTTCTTAGAAAATAATTTTGATACACTCAAGTAAAATATTCTGTTCACTGAAGTAATTAGGAGTTTTCATTTAAATTAAGTAAAAATAGAAATATCTGTCTTTTTTATGCCTTTGAAGAAGCTACCTTTTACGCACTGCACAGCATTTACTCAAAAAGATCTGAAAGAAATCAGATCTGAAAGAAAACAAATGGGTATAAAATTTTATGTTCCCCTTTTGTTTTGTATTATTTTAGTTGTGCAAAACTAACCATCTGGTTGTGAATCTAGTCAAGTTCTTAATGAAGACAATTGTGTTATGAATGGACAGATAAGATTTTAATTCTGCTTTATAGCAACACATGAACAAGTGACTGCTATATTTTAGAGCTCTATTGGACAGCCCCCGAGTTATTAAGACTTGTGCAGCACCCATTTAATGGAACCCCAAAAGGGGACATCTTCAGCTTTGCCATTATAATGCGGGAGCTGATCTGTGATGGTGAGGTGGGCCCATACCATGATGTCCAACTGGAACCTGAAGGTAATTTATTCTCACTTTTTACTTTGACATTGTCTTTTGACCTTAAACTGGAATATTTCACTGAAAGCTTTCCTATATGAGGAACAGAACATTTTTTATATAGTTGTGTATGTATAACAAAAATGCTACATTTGTTACACAAATATGCTTTTTTTCCATATAGTGTTTGCTTTTTTATTTCAAATTTAGAGATGTTCATGGTGGATTACATATGATATCATTTTATATTTGCCAATATATATGTTCTGCACAGAAAATTGTTTTAAGTTGACTATTTACATACTGTATATCAAGATAATGATTTGGTTTTCTTTACACAATGTTCTAAAGTACTAACTCAAGCTTTTTTTTGTTAGAAATTATTGAACGAATAAAAACTCCTCATTCAGATCAACCATTCAGGCCATCCCTGTTGATTGGTAAGGTCAATGAGGGGATATCGGCCCTACTGAAATCTTGCTGGGATGAAAATCCAGAGCGTAGACCCACTTTTTTATCCATCAGGAGACGATTACGAGAAGCCAGTCCTGAAAGGTTAGTTTGAGAGGAGGTGGCAGATTGCATAAAATTAGAGGCAAAACATTTAAAAAATATTAAGCATACAGGGTAGCAAAAGTCTTGCACACAAACAGGAGGTAATATATATAGTATGTATGTAATGAGCATCAACAATTATGAATCCACTAGTTAGTAGTTCCTACCTTTATAAAAACTTTAATTATTAATTTATTAATACACCTTAGTGAGAGTAAAGAGATGCCAGGCTTGCCATTTAGCCATTTTTAATTCACATACTGTAGTTTAGAATCCTCAAAAACATGATCCCAGCCAACCAAAATCATTAACTGTATACACGAGCAGCTTATGGGAAGTGTTGAAGCAGTAAATCCATCACAATTAACAATCAAAACTAACTGACTCATGTAATTAACATTGTTTTTTTCTTTTTCAATATTTGATAATTGAATTGGCCACATTTTGTATTAAATAATATTCATTTATCAGAAAAAAATCTGTTGAAATAAAATGGCTAAAATACAAGTAGATGATCATTATTTCTGCATAAAGAAATGAAAATAATAAGTGAAAATAACAGAACAATACAAAATGTAAAAAAAGCACTTTTTCACTACAGTATAGATCCCTGCTGTTTGAAATAACTAGTTTAAGTAACAAGACGATGCAGCATAACAAACATACAAAGACACAAACACATCACATCTGGTGGGTTGTCCTTGTTCATCACACAGTGACTGACATGAATGCAAAATGCCTTGAGCCTTGAAGTTTTGTGGGAATGCTTTTTTTTGCAGTGGATTTGTATATTTATATATTTCAGTCATGTCAGTATTCTTGACAACATGGTGTGCAAGCTTGAGAAATATGCCAACCATCTAGAAGACGTGGTTGAGGAGAGAACAAACCAGCTCACAGCAGAGAAGAAAAGAACAGACAAACTTCTTTCCAGCATGTTGCCCAGGTACCATAAGTGCAACTTTTACCCACCTCCTTTTAAAGACTTCCCTTGGCCCCATTAAATGCACTATCAACACATTTCAATCTGTACTCTAATCTGTACTTGATTTTTTTTCCCTTCAAGATACATTGCAGAACAGCTGATGGCTGGGAGATCCGTGGAGCCCAAAAGCTATGAGACAGTGACCATCTTCTTCTCTGACATTGTGGGCTTCACCAGTATGTGCTCCATAAGCTCTCCCTTGGAGGTAGTCAGCCTACTCAACGACCTCTACAGTTTGTTCGATGAAATAATAAAGCTTTATGATGTCTATAAGGTACAGTACCCTAATCCATTTTCTGTACCTTAATCTCATTTTGTGACTGAAGTATATACTGTTTAAGATCATCTGGTCATTAAGATCGTTAAGGATACTTAAGTGCAGCAAAGCTTTGATAATTATACACAGGGTAGGAGTTAACTACTTATTGTTTAGTCATACAAATTAATTTTCTATGATGCATGTGTATTCTTAAAATCATGTTGCTGTGCAAGATCAGCTTTGCATTTTAATTTCTTCTGTTAATCCCATGTAAGGTTGAAACTATTGGAGATGCATACATGGTGGCAAGTGGGCTTCCCATTAGCAATGGCTTGAAACATGCTGAAGAAATAGCCACCATGTCTTTGCACTTTCTCAGTGCCATCATGATGTTTAAAATACGGCACCTTCCAGACGAAACACTGAAACTTCGCATAGGGATTAATTCAGGTAAAACCCATTTCCGTTCAACATGGATTGTGAGTTCTGCAGACTTGTATTTGTTAACTTGTAAAAAGCAAGTAATTGAAAAATAGTATATGTAAAAAAAAACAGTGCAGTTATACATTTATTTATATTTGAAGTGACCAAAAAAATATGAATTAGCTAGTAGAGGTAAAAAGAAATAACTGCTGATACCTTTACTTTAAAAAAAATACTTAAATAATCAATTATCTACAATATGCATTACAGTATGCAAAAACTGTATACTGTAGGTTTTATAATGCTTCTGTAGTATAAACATTGTTTTAAATGATCAAAGTGAATGTATTTTAAAATGTATATGTTCAAAATGAATTTACGGTATGATCACTTGTATAAAGCTGAAGTTAAGGGACACACTGTTGTAAGCGAATATTTTTATAGTAGTTCACTGACTTAAATACACTCCCTTGATTCTGCAGGGCCTGTTGTGGCAGGAGTTGTGGGAACAACAATGCCAAGATACTGTCTGTTTGGAGACACAGTTAACACAGCTTCAAGGATGGAAAGCAACAGCTTGCGTAAGTCTGATAATCAGCATCTTCTACCTGGGTTAAGCAGCTTCTTTCCTCGTTTTGTGGCACTGTAGTAGAATACCTTTCAAAGCGTATCATTATAAGTATATTAAGAAAACAGCACAGAACTGCAGTATTAGAAGGATATAGCTGGACTAGTAAAAATAAAGAGCCTAAAAGCTGGAAAAATATGCATTGACAGAAAAAGGGAGCTTCTTAACAGTTCATAATCTCTTGATTGATATGAGGTACTGTAGGCGTTTTGGGAAAATACAGAGGAGTATTTGCTTCAGTGTCACAATGCGAGACAAGGTTCTTTAATTAATAGCTTATTATTAATGACTAAGGTAATTAATACCTGGATTTAAAATAGCATCATGCAGTACCTCTAGGTATATGTTTTGTTTTGTAAAATGAGTACATATTTTAATGCGATACAATTGTTTTACTTTCAAACAGCTTTGAAGATTCATGTGTCTGAGAGCACAGCACAAATTCTAACCAAGACTGGCAAATTTGAATTAGAAGCAAGAGGAGACGTTGAAATCAAGGTAAGCCTCATACGCCTGCAACACACAATTAAATTTATCAATGTGCAACTTAAAATCACACAAAGTAGGCATTTGCATGACAGGTCCTACTATCCATTCTGGTTACTACAATTTTGATAGTTACTTTTTGTAATTATAAATGAAGTCTACCTTTTCTATCTGCATAACTGAAATAGTGGCATATTATCCGAATATTATCACCGTCTTTACATGTACATAGCTCTCATTCTTAAGACTTATTATTTTTTAGCAGTTCTGAAGACATTTTTGCAGTTTACTTTGATTTTCAATAGAGACTACATTTTGTGCTATCCAGCTACAGAGGGGATATACTGTAGGATATTTGTACTATGTGAATTTTTAAATAAATGTGAACCGTATCTAAAGTGCATTTCACTAATTTGTGTTGTTTTGGTAATATTACAAGGGAAAAGGAACCCAGAAGACTTATTGGTTAAAGAGCAAAAAAGGATTTATGATGCCCCTACCAGACTCTGCAAGTACTGCAGGAAAATCCAACAAAAATCTTTTGAAGGTATTTAACCTTGATTATCCAGAAAGATTGAAAAAAGGCAGTGTTTGTTGGCAAAATATCAAGCCATACCCTTTACTAAGTAAATTATTCTTGTTCCAGTTGTTTTTCTTTCAGTATTCCAGGCAAAATACTTGCTATTAAAAAAAATCAAAACACACTAACAGAAAAGTTTGAATGGTGAATGTGATTGTGAAAGGTCAGAAATAATGAGAACAGTAATCTCAATTGACCTGCCACTAGAGGCTTTTAGGCCTCTACTGTATAAATTGATTAATGTCTTAAATGGTGGAGAGCAGAGAGTCACATTCTCACATGGGCTTAATTTAGGCTTTGGTATATAGAATACATTTGGCTAGCTGGTATTGTGTTGTTTAAAGTGGGGTTTCTTTTGTTGTTGTCAAGCACTTTATAGGGATAAATTATCCTTGTGCAGTGTCACTGTTTTCCAGTTTCTGTTCATGTGCTCAGGTCTCATGAGCCACCTGCTGAAAAGCAGGCCAATCAGTCATTTTGCAGCAATTAATTCAACATACAGTACGATCTACACAAGTTCTTGCCTCCTTTAAAAATCCAGGTTGACTCCTTTATAAAGCCAGTATGTGAAGACTTTAACAATGCAGAAACAAATCACACAGTGACACCTCCCTGTTTTCTTTTATCAGACTTTGGTTTTAATGACTTTGAGATTATGTGCCTGTCTCTATATGAAATCTTCTCCATAGCCCCTAAACCTAAGAAAAACTGTAACAATGCAAACCTGAATAGTACAAACAGAATTGTGTAATGAATGCAGGGGAATGTGGGTATTTTTAAACAAGATAAAACAGCAATCTAAGTAGAGTCCAGTTCTTCATCTGTGACAAAATGAAATTTTGAAGAGTGTGTGTGTATCTTAGCAACCTGGTTCTCTATTGTGGTTGTGGAATTCTTTTCTCAATTAGGACAGTGAGAAGTGGACTGATGGAATTAAAACCAAAGATCCAGAGAAGAGGGAGAGGAGAAGGACACAGGGACGCAGCAGAGAGGATAGCGGGCAAAGTGAAACCCTGCTGATGAATATTTTGCCTGCAGATAGACAGTACGAAAAAGCCCAAGTCCACAGCCAGTCTCACCTGAGTCCAAACTAAACTAAAACGTCTTTTACTTATAAACTCAGTTCAACACATGAAGTCCAGAAAGGGACAAAAAGACTTACCTAACTTAAAAATGAAATGTAATCAACATCGCTGATGTAATTTTTCAATAAATGTGCTAAGAAAAAAGATTCCAAGTCTCAATGGGGCTGTTTCTATAATAACAATAAAAACTTACATACATAATTATATTTATAACATGATAATTACATACAGTATTGTTTATCACTTGTTTTTTTTCCTCAAAATGCAATATTGTGGTAGTTTTCCAAGCTTAACAAATGGTATGCTTAATCTGAACGATGTCTCAAAATTTGTCATGGATAGTAATTTCTTTATGTTTAAATCTTTTATTGTTAGAAAGAATGACAAGTAAGATGGAACAAAGGCACACTTAATTTGAACAGTATGCACGTCTATATATACACATTCCTATAAAATGGGCAGAAACTCTTCATGGAAACACAACTTATGTTCACAAATACTGTATGTTATTCGTTTTCTTAGGAAGGCAAAAACATTCACATAAGTCTTCTAATCAGCAAAGAATGATACATACTGTACAATCTACTAAATAAAATGAAGTGTATGTGACTTACTGCATTCTAATGCTTTTATGAATTGTGTTCCTTTTGAAAAACTGTCAGTAATAGAAAAAGTGTTAAACCCTATTTTAGACTGCAGTTTTTAGTGTTAAGAGTGAGGAAGGTCCTTTCTTCCAATCATAGAGTAGAAAAATAAATCAAGGTTGTCCAAACTTCAAACTTTCCCAGAAGCTTTTGCTTGTATAAAACATGCTTTGCATTTTTTAATGAAAGTTTAACATCTGTATAAAAACACAATGCTTGTGACTGTCTGAATTATAACATTTAAGAGCAAAAGGGAGAAAGGGAGACCTTAGATAATCTCCCTGAGACCACAGTATGAAACTTGGGGAAGCATCTTGTTCCACTCTCCTGAACACTGTGTGAACCCCTGTACAACATACAGTACATTGTTTAACGCCATTGTATATTTCACACTTGGCATATAAAACAAATAGATTTAACATGAATTTAGCGCTTATACTGCCCTTTTTTAGATTACAGAAGAAAGCAAACTTCCTAACAGGGTGTTCACTGTGAGCATGAAAAAGATGCAGTATGGCGCCATATCTGGAAAAAAACACAATAAGTCAAATGGGCAACATTTCATTTCTAAATATGCAAGTTTGAAATTGTTTGCACTTTTCTAGTTACCTGCAAGTTTTCTGTTGCTAGATGAGCCAATGGCTGCCAAGAACAAAAGAAACAAAAAGATAATTATCTCTGAAAACACGTCATCATTCCAGAAAAATGTTATTGGATTTTCCTGGCCACGTATGATGGCATCAGCTATACAAGAAATGAAGTCATTCTGATGTCACTGAATGACTCACACTCAAGCAGAAAACACAGATAGAATGAGAGTGCACCAGTAAATGAACATGGTAGGGAAACATGCATAAGAAATTGATCAACTGATGTTGTTACAGTACATGGGACTAACTGATTTATTTATGTGTTTTGATTCTCATCATTCATGTACATTGTTACCTAGTTCAACAATATAAACATACCTTTAACACGGAACTCTGCAGTTAGCACACCTCCATTTGGATCAGTCTGGTGACTTCTTAAATTGCATGGAACAGTCTTAAAACGAAAAAATAAGAGAATACAAAAGGACTAACAACTCCTACTTTCAATATACTGTATACTGTAGACATTCTGTACACATCACTCTGCCAGGAATACAGGGAGGTTGTGCTATCACAGCAACATGTCATATCGTTGAAGACAAGTAAAAAGATGAAGTGATGTTCTGGTGGAAATACGGTGGTGGCTGAGGGGAATTTAGAAATTCTGCAGAAGAACAGCAACTCAAATCTGTAGGCACAGCATGGTGTGCAATTTGACAGCTTAATCCCCACTCCAAGGGCACAGTGCTAGGCTTGTATCTTTTAATCCTACCCAGTGAGTACCCGGTGAGTATCAGTCAAACAGCACAGTGGCAATGGCATGGACACAGAACATGCCAGGCAATAATTTGCCACCTACACAAGGCAATTGTTTCATTAAATAATTGAGAGACAGTTTGAAATGACAACATCCCGCATTTCTTCAGAGTGTAAATCAATAGATCAACTCAGTAAATTATTCAAAACCTTGCTCATATTGCAAATCCTTATTCTCATAGGTTAATGAGCAAAATCCTTTTGGATTATAGCTTGCCAAAATCAGAAGAAGGCACCTCTGTATCATGATAATCTACTTGAATTAGCTATGATTACTTAGTGTAATTCTAAGATGTTGCTTTGTGGCTTCATTCACATGAAGAAGCTTCATGAAGATGAAGAATCTTCTTCCTCCTGTAAATTTGTGACATTATCCTTGTCTTACTTACTGGTTGACAAAAAAGCTTTTCACTGTCACATATGTGGACTTCGCAGTGCAGCCAGACAGTTGACACTTTTTCCAGAAGCTGAAACCTGAATGAATTGAATTTGAACATTGACCGGCTGTCTTTTCCATTCTCAAAGATGGTCACTGTATGGTCTGATGAGCAACTGTGGGAAAAAGAGCACTTATGAATCACTCATCTGTTAGGTGTATGGAAAAGTCACAGCTTCAGAAGCTGTAATGTCAAATTCATGCTAATGCAAAACAGGTTGTCAACAACAAAAATTAAGGCTTAAGTGAAATGACTGCAAACGAAACACACCTGTTTATAATTAGACTCCATCTCTTTTTGTCAGTGAACTGGGGAGAAGGGGTAGCCCAGCAGTTTTTAATGACAACTTTGAACCTAAAAAACAAATCCAGAAGCTACATGTGTTACAATTGTATTCAACAACTGGTATGCCTTAAATCCTAGTAGACAAATACAAAACAAAACAACAAAACAGTTGCAGTGCAAATTGGATTTATGTGGAGTTTATTGTACCCTTGTGTCTATAAGAAGAGTTAATCCTTTGAGGAAACAAATCTGTGCTGCATTCTACACTGCTCAAACATATTTAAAGCACTACTTAAAGTAATGCTATATTTACATTTTTAAGGGTTAAGATAAAGTCTATTCCAGAGCCACAAACTCATCGGGCCAGAGCTCATCCTGGTTTTTGAAGTGTTAAGCAGACTACAGAGCATGTTGGATGGAATGCCAGTCTATCACAGGGATGACTCCCCAGCAATGCTGGTTCCCACTTATACAACTGGGTAGACTGGAGCAACTTTGCTAAGATACCTTCCTCATGTAAACTCACAACCTGTCAGTGATGAGTCCAAAGCGTAGTCACTACATTACATTACATCATGATTGAATTTGAGCTAATTTATTATGGCCAGAGAGAAAGACAATGTCTACTCAAAAATTAAATCCTTACTTAGTGAGAGCATACCTGTTACTCAGTCCTTTTGCCTCAATGCCAATAAATACTTCAGAACCAATCTCTGATGTATCAATAGTGTAGGGGACATCCATGGTATGTAAGAATTTTGAATTCTTTAAAAGAAGGGAGAAATCTTAGCAAATTAATGTAAACCCACCTATAATACAGCAAAGTAATCTAAGGTATATATATTATTTACTGCATAGTATTTAAAACATCTTTTCTGCGTAGGCTTAAGAGAACATGAATATAAGAAATAAAAAATTAGAGTTCTTTACTTCGTTCTTTAAAAAGGTACAAGAAACTAATTTCAAGCTTCTTGAACCTTATTGACATGGCTGACTAATATCTCTTGTGGATTACTGGACCATTTTCATATCAAAGTAACATTTAAAACTATTGTATAATCACTTCCACAACCTCATACCTTACGTAGACAGTATACCTTTAACTCTCTTGTTTTTTAGGGGAAGAGAAACATCACAGTTTCAAAGTGTAAGAAAAGCCTTTCAGAATGTAAATATGGATTCTTTTTATATTTGGGAAAATTAGTATCTTCTTTTCTCCATTATATTTCACTTAGCGTGGCAGAAATACGTTGTGTGATCCTTTACAATACCGAAAATAAAGCCGAAAGTTATTTACAAGGATGATAACAAGTGATCTCACCAATACTGTACAGGTTAGAAAATGTCCAACAGAAAATATCTAAGTAACTGTCAAGTGTTCAAATGGTTGCTCTTTAGCACATTAATTTGATTTTCTAAGGATCCTTTCACCATATTTCAAACAGCAGGATCATTAAGTTACAATGCAAACTGTGAACTGTCAAAACTTTTTTTTTAATAAAAGACGAGCGCCCGTAACTCATAGGTTAATAAGAAGTTTTCTATGCTCTCTACTGGCCAGAATTCAAGAGAGATATTGTTTGATCTTTGTTTCAAAAACATAATGAGACCTCTAGAATTTATTGTATAATTATCAACTCTGATACAAGCCAAGGGATGTTTTAAAAAGATTCTACACTAATCAGTTTACTGTATGTAAGATATACCCTGTGGAAAAATGTCTTGCTTTGTAGCGTTCTAAAAATATACACAATGCATGACAAACTGAAGCTTTGTGCACTGTTTTACTTTTGATTACCATTCCCACATATTTGATTTAAAATTACATTTTTCAATTCCATAAAGATAAAGAAAACAGTTAAATACTTACAGTAAACACGTTCATAGACAGCTGAGATTTAAAAGAGCCTATGCTCCCATTGTTGACATAAACTGTCGCCACTCTGGAATAAGCAGATGGTTTAGTGAAAACACTGCAAGTTATTATGTGAGAATGTCTGTGTAATGAAATAAATTTTGTCCCAAATTATTTCATGCAAATGTCTTACCTTTGACTAAAGATGGCATTGCTCACCAAATAAGAAGCTTTGTAGGTACAGCTGAAGGAATAGTTCACAGGCTGGTTTCTGACCATGAGAGATGTGTCATTGGAGACTATTGAGTTGTAGAAAACATATTTGGGATCTTTGCCACCGAGATACTGAAAGAAACAACACATTAAAGTTTTATTTTTCTGCTCCCTGCTCCCTGTTCTCTAAACACAGAGCTGTTGTTGTATTTAAGATGAATGCTGCATAAACATTATTTAATATACTGTATATGTAAGCAGATCAAGCAGCTGATTACACAGAAAAATCTGTTTGGCACTCATGTCATACATCAGTCTTAGATTGCACAGGTTAACCTGTGTCCTGTTCTTTCATGTCTGTGAAAGTCTTACCTCTGATTGGGTTCCACAGTATGAATTGTTTTTAGGGGTCAGATCAGGAATAGCAAAACGGAAATATCCTGCACTGTTCACCCCACTGTAGCACACACCTCCCAGGGATAATTGGTTGATTTTCCATCCATAAGGACACTCAGGAACATTAGCAATAATAGCATTTGGAAAACAGGTGACCAAGACAAAGTCTAGTAAGAAATAAAAGTACACTAGTTATGTTATTAACATAGAAAATGATTTAAACACCGTACTGCATTGCATGATTGTTTATCTTAGCAGGCTGTGCTAAAATGTCTGGTTATTTATAATTGAGTCAGCTGTTTGAGTCAGAAGGTATGACTATATAGTTTAGTCTTCCAAACAAGATCCATGAAAAACTGTTCTGCTGTACCACAACAGAAACAAATACAATGTATAATTATTTTTTAATTAGCTGTTTTTCAACAAAAATATGAGGAAGGTTAACTGA